ATACCCTTCCCAAACCGCCCCCCAGCAAACTCAGAAGCGCAGTGACTTTTAACAAGGTCAAGGGGAACAGTTACTCAGCATCTGTCAGGCTGTGCACACATGTGCGCATTATTTTTCCAAGCGGCTCCTGAGTTGCGTGGACAGTAATGCCGACTGCTGGAGCCAGTTACCAGAACAGAATTTAGGGGGTTTTTGGTCTGTGCCGGGAACTGAGAAATGTGGAAACTTCTGACCTGCATGAGGGCGGGAGACTGGGCTCACTTTGGCCGAAAGCTAAGAAATGCTGACAACTGCGCTGTGCAAGTTTCCTACATCTGATAACACGTGGCCCATTGTCTCACGTCCACAGCAGACGGCTGAGGTCAGACTGTCCAAAGCACGGCCACCCATCTTCCCGTGCCGCTGCCGCCGTCCGCTGGCAAAGGGCCCGAGCCTGGCCCCACGGGCAGCGGGCGCAGGTTACGCCGTGGGCCTGTGGTCCACGCCGCCACACCTGACCCAGGCCTCCCGACCAAGTTCACCAGACTGGCTCCACACTCTGCTCCACATTTCTGCATGACTTTTGGGCCCATAGGACTTTTAAAAAATATATATATTTTATTGATTTTGTACAGAGAGGAAGGGAGAGACAGAGTTAGAAACATCGATGAGAGAGTCATCGATCAGCTGCCTCTTGCACACCCCCTACTGGGGATATGCCCGCAACCAAGGTACATGCCCTTGACCAGAATCGAACCCGGGACCCCTTAGTCCCCAAGCTGACGCTCTATCCATTGAGCCAAACCGGTCTCGGCATGTTTTCTTTTAACTGGGATCACACACGCCTTTTAAAAAATGCTGGAACCATTGTTCTCACAGCATGTGCCACCTCCTTGACCCGAGACAGTTTTGTTTTGACAGATGTTAGCTCCTTGGGCCAGGATTCTTTCCCTGGGTCGCAGCCTGGACACAGCACCCCGGGGAGCCGCGAGCCCGCCCCACGCAGCAAGGCCGAGGCCGGCCTCCCAGGTAGCTGGCCAGGCCCTCCAGTTCTCTTGAGCTGGGCCCTTGTTGCCCGTGTTTGCTTCCAAAGGAAGGGTGTGTCAAAGGCAGGAGTGAGTGGAAATACCTTCATCCACAGGAATTGTGCGCAGGGGAAAAAAATAAACAAGGGAAAATGTCCCAGGGCAACCGAGGTAAAGCCCGGACAAAGGAGAGTGTGAAACGGGAAGCTGGTGTGCCAAGGGCAAACAGATGCAGGAAACACTTAAGCCAGCAGGCTCCCTGCCCCTGAGGCGAGGAGCTGGACCAGGCTTCCTCGGCTTGGCTGGCTTTTTCTGGGACAGCAGCGCCACCTTCTGTTCAGTAAGCAGAACATCGGAGCCGGGCTGCTTACTGAAGAGGCAAGACCAGAAAATTGAAGTGAGAAGACAAGAGGGCCCGAGGGGCCCCAGCATACTGCTTCCGGGGAACGCTCGGCCACCTTCTCCAGCCTCCTTTTCTCTAGTTCAGGCCAACTCAGGAACCCAGCGCCACCCCGCATCCCTGACACCCAGGCTGGGGGCCAGGTCCAGAGGCTCCCCAGAGCTGGTCTGGAGTCGTCATTTCTTACACAAATGTGGACTTTGCACTCACTGGTAACCCCAAACATCGGAGTGGGAAGAATGAGGTCAGGGAACACTCATAATGCCCAGGTCTTTCCCCAGGAAGCCCTCTGGGGGTTCCGTCCAGCCCCAGCCCCACGTTTCTTAGGACACGGTGGACTCTTCCACCTTGTCAGAGAGGCCCAGGAGCAGGGAGCTCACTCCCTCCAGCAGCAGCTCGCCCACTTTTGGCCAGAGGTAACGGAACGTTCTACGCTCCGCTCCATGGCCGCCCCCCTTCCCTTACCGGGCACCGAGCAGCAGAGCGACCAGCTCTCCCCGTCTCCCCCCTCCCCGCTCCTTCACTCGTCCGCACATGATGTGGTTACGTCCCCTCACCTTGAAGCTTTCTCTCCTCTGAGTGTGCTCCAGTTTAAATGCGGAATTCAATATTCCAAAAAACGCCTCAACGACACGAGTGACCACCTGGGGAGGGAGCAGAGGAGCACTGGTCGTCGTACCTAACGCTGCTGAGCGCAGACATGCCGGACACTGCGGAGCTAAGTGCTCATTTACATTTTACTCAGTTCAGCCTTTAAGACAAACGAGGCCCATTTATCAGGATGCCCATTTTGCAGATGAGGAACACTGAGGTGAGAGGACTTCCCCAAGGACAGCTGGAGTTCAGACCAGGTCTCTAACCCAGGGCTTTGGCTTCTCCCCCCCACCCGGGCCGTTTCCTCTTCCTCTGGGCGCTCTGCTGCCTCGGGCAGCGCAAGGCCCCATAAGGACACATGCAGAGCAATGAATGCAGTCACCACCGTTATGTAATGTTACCCACCCGAGAGCTTTGCTTCTGAAGAACAGTGATTCTCAAAGCTGATCTGTGGACCCCTGGAGGTCAGCAAGGTCGAAATGATTTTCATAACATGAAGACATTTACCTGATTCACCGTGGTGACATTTACAGGAGCATGGTGGGTCAACTTGTTGGCCCTTTAGAACAAACCAAGGCAGCAGCACCGAATTCTAGCAGGAGCCATACTCTCAGTTAAAAAAAAAAGCCCATCTCACTTCCGCATGTCCTTGACGCTCGGTGCAGTGTTGTTCTGTTAGCATTTTGTGTGGTGACGAGAGGTGAGCATAAACTTGGGCATCGAGGAGAGCACCCGTGCGGTTATGTGGGTTCCGAGCTGACCTAGCGGCTTCCTTCCCAGAACACCATTTACCTGAAAGAACGACTGACAGACTATGGTCACTTCGATGCAGGAGTTTGGCCACCATTTCCTAAAACACAGAGCCTGTCACTTCGAGGAAAGCTGAGAGTGTAACATCCCAGCTCTCCGGCAAAGCTGGAAGCTGGGGAGATGTGTGCTCCCGCCGCTTGCTGGCCTGTCTGCGGGTCAGTGATGTCACTGTCACATACGATTGGGGGGCTACTATAGAAGCAAATGTGTCAGCACCGAGGACATGTGCGTAACGCAGAGAACCCCTTTCCAAATCGCTAGCACCCGGTGATTGGGATGGTGCCTGGCGAAAAGGGCCGGTCCAAGTGTGAGAGAGACCGTGCTTCAGTGCAGCCGAGCATAAAAGTTCACCGCCAGGGCTTCCCGTTCCACCCGGCAATCAGTTAACTTTAGAAAATTCCCGCTTGCTGAGCTTTGATCAAGTATCAGAGGAGAAAACCCACGAGTCCTCGAGTATCTATTAAAATGCTTCTCTTTCCAACGGCCTGGCTGTGTGAAGACGGCTTCTTCAAACTTCAGCCCACACCCAGACTGATGCAGCAGTTAGGAGAGCCTCGCTGTCCCTAAGCTGGACTTTAGACACCAAGGAAACTCGTAACATGGTCAAACGATTCCTCTCTTTGTACTAACTTTTTTTTAAATTTCGGAAATAGTAATTTTTCATAAGAATGTTATTTATGTTAATATGTAATAGACTTGTTATCTTAAAATGAATAACATTTTCCTCGGTTTTAACTGCTCAGAGATTGTCACAGACAAAGCCAAAATGAAGAAAAGCTCTATGGGATCCTAACTTTCAATTGTGTAAAGGAGCCAGAATGTTCTGAGAGAGCTGCCACAGCAAAAAATCAAAAGCAGATCTTTAAAAGCCAAAGTAGGAAGGAGTGCCATCTAGTAGAAAAGACAAATGAGACATCAAACCATTTGTTAGCAAAATAAAGGACATCCTGTTGTTAGAAACGTCACATACTTAAGGCAGAAACATCTATATAATAAAAGTGTAATATGCTAATTAGACTGGACAGCCGGACGAGCTTCCAGATGAAGCTGACTGCAAGGGCCGAGGCAGGCCGCCATGGCTGCGAGGGCGGAGCCCCTTGCACAAATTTGTGCACCAGGCCACTAGTTTGAAAATAAAGGTTTAACATACAAAAACACTGTTAAATATCAATTGAAGTAAAGCTTAAATGTGACAGGACAGAGGGAGGGCTGAGAGGGGTTTGAGTGGAGAAGAGCTGATGGCAGGCTGGAGAGGAAGGCAGGGCCCTCTAAGGAAATCGGGCACAGAAAAGACTCCTGTCAGAGACCACGCATAGAGTAACAATTCCTGTCCCTATTGGGGAGCCCAAAGACCTACACACCCCGAAAACTAAGACAGAAAGCCAAGTACGAATGCTGCTGACCACTTTCACTCTGCCAGCCCAAAGGAGCTGTACCTTCCTTCCAGGCCACAGCCTGCCCTCCTGCCAGTACTGCTTGACGAGCAGGCCGGGGCTCCTCCCAGCTCAGAAAGCAGTCTGCGTCTGTGTACCTAGGATGCCTTTTTTTCTCCTGCTGATGCCAACACTTCTTGGTGAAGTGTTTTCTTCTCTGCAGCAATCCCAGCCTTTCATGGGCAGACTTCTGTGCCTGCACACAGTCCTATCCACCGAATCAGTTCCAATTTGGAAATGATGCTGTATTTTCAAATATGCTACTTTAGATCCTAACTGGGTATAACTTTCCTAAATTCCACTAAATCACCTTACAGGCCTCCCGCTGGGCTTTTGTTTTTTTTTTTTTAGTATTTGAGAGCGCATTTATTAAAGCCGGAGACAGGGAAACAGGAGAGCTCAGGCGGGCTGTTCTGGCTCACTGGGAAGTCAGAGGAAACATCCCACATCTAACGCCCTGCGGGAGGAGACCCACAAAGCACCCCTGGCTGCAGAGCACAGGGAGGCTGCTGCGCTCACAGGCTCCAGGTGCTCTAGGCTGGAGACCGGCACTCCCTACAAGGCCAGGGTCCAGGCCGCTCCAGGACGTGCTCCTTCAGAGTGCCTCCAGGCTTCTGCATGCAACCGATGTCAGCCCAGAACATTGACACGTGGTTGCAGTGTGTCAGCGGGACGGACCTTGATCAGACACATGAACTGAGCCACATGTTAAAATGCCTCATTCGCATCCAGCCACCCACCACAGCCAACACCAAGTACCTTTGGGTCATCAGTCTCAGGTTTTTCAGTCTCTGAATCGTCATCTTCCTACAAGACAAAGAATTTAGAGGATTAAGCTTACAGGATCGGGCCTGCGGGTTCCCGTATGCACAACTAGGGGTTGGAGCAAACTCACTCAGCCTGGGTCATCCCACCAAGACCCTTCCCCTCTGTATGACCCAGAACAAAAGGAGATGTTCTGGGGGGTGGAGGGGAGAGAAAGACCTGGGGCTCAAAGCAGATACTCCAACAGGACCATCGCCTGCACGAATGAGAATGCCTGAGATGAAAAATCGCCAACAGAAAAGCGGAGGCAAGGCCAGGCCCCACAGGATAAAGTCATACTGTTCCCAATGAAACAGCCATCACTTAAACCAGAAACACAAGCTGTTTCCTTCTTTGCTTTTCATATACACAAATAACCGGACCCAGACCATGACACCGTTCACCGCCAGAGTGACCCCCACGCACCTGTGCCCCGGCAGTCCAACTCAGTAGCATTTGTTTGCACCGACGTGAACACTAGGAAGGCAGGCGTCAAGTGACTCGGGAGAGGCATGACTACAGAGCAGGGCCCAGCCTTTTCTGGGTCCAGTGAGTGTGCCCCACTTCCGGCCAAGTTCTCTCCAGCCTTGCTCCTTACCCAAACGGCCTGCTCCACACAAAGCACCGTCCTCCAAAGCACACGCGGCCTCCAAGAGCAGGCCCACCATTCCCCTGAACGCGAACGGAGACCACAGGTAGTGCCACTACCCAGAACCCCCCAGTGTATGGCCCTTTAACTTACCATGAGGAAAAACTCAAGTGTCATTTGAAACTTTTTTTTTTCAATCGAGCTACATTTTAACCCCCACATTAAACAGCAGTCCAGATGTTAACATACACATCACCGGAGAGGCGTGGATAAACTATACTGATGGGTTTGAGATGTCACTGTCCTGGAAGGCATTTTAAATGAGCCAAAGGTTTTAAATGCAATCTCCTTAAAATGAGTCCGATCAGGCCAAATATCAGAGATGTGGCTCAGCCAAATACAATCACATTTTAGAAGGTCTAGACTGGAATTTGATGAGAGGATTTTACTGAAATATAAAATAAAGCTTAAATATGATGAATATCCTGAGCAAAGCAAATGTGGAATTACACTTCAAAACACACTATGCAGGTTTACGGAAGAAAACAGCCAGAACGTTTGCACAGAAGAAAAGTCAGGGAAAGAACATAACATGCAAAGCTTTTCTAACCCGTTTCAGTCCATTCTGAGTTATTAGCATTGATGGTGGGGCTAAGGGCATGAAAATACCTCCCAAAAGAACATAAAATACAAAGTACAGTTTTGTTTAACTTGGAAAGCATTTTTAACGGTAACATTTAAATCTCAATGGGTAGCAAAGTCTTCAAACACATGATAAAAGTACAATGAATGTTTCAATTAAAGCTGTTGTCAAATATCCACATTCAACTTGGGATGTTTTTGTGCCAAGCACCAGCGGAGTCCTCATTTCCCCCCAAACTTTAAAATTCTGGCTCGTGTTGCTTATGCAATAGTGTATCTAAAGTCTTTTTGGTTAAGTCACAAGTTCTCTTTTGTTAGCCACACATACTAAATTTCAGGCAAGATTGGTGATCAGGAGCCGGGCTCTGTGATAAAAAGTGCCAAGTAAAATGTCAAGAAGGAAGTTAAGGAATGAATCAGACACACACAATAATAATAACTTCCCTTCCTAATCTTTTGAATACATGGACAGATTTGAATGAGCCCCAACCAAGATTAAAAATAATACAGAGCCGAAACCGGTTTGGCTCAATGGATAGAGCAACGGCTTGGGGACTGAAGGGACCCGTGTTCGATTCAGATCAGGGGCATGTACCTTGGTTGCGGGCATATCCCCAGTGGGGGGCGTGCAAGAGGCAGCTGGTCGATGACTCTCTCTCATCGATGTTTCTAACTCTCTATCTCTCTCCCTTCCTCTCTGTACAAAATCAATAAAATATATTTTAAAAAAATAATAATACAGAGCTGATTGCACCAATTAGAATGATTATACTGTTGCAAATGGAATAAACTATCTAAACGGGGAAAACGATATCTGGGTCAAATAAAATAACTCACTATTTCCCCCCCAAATTTTAAGTTCAAAGATAAATGCAAAGTGGTCCAGGTTGAAAACAAACTTGATTTTCAAACAGAACTGCCAATATCCAACCCAGTTTTCTTAATTGACGCTAAACAGAGTGGGAGGAGAGGGGATGTGAAATGGCACGCTGCTGGAACAGTCCGGAAAGTTTCTAACAAGCGGAATGGTGCCATGAGCGGCTCTGGATATGGGAACAGAGCTACTTACCGATTGTTTGCTGTTCTCCTCCTCCTCTTCCTCATAGCCATCTTCATCATTCCCAAGGCGAGAAAAATCGTCCTCTCCGTACGCATCCGATACCAATCCGCCTTTCTCCTCTTAAACAAAGGGAAAAAATAAAAATGAACAGATTGGGAGGGTGGGGGGCGGGGAATGCAAGAAAACCTTTCGGTGATGTGACTGACTAGAATTATATCTTAACGTCAAAAAGGAACCGAAGTCTCATGTTAAATGGCCTCAGGCCCAGACTCTGTTGGGTGACAGCCGCTAGTGATGTCTGCCTCGGGTCACAGGCACCAGCGGACTCATCTTCTCATACAAGACAAGGACTGTCGTCCTCATTTTTGTGTGTCCTCCCCTTGAACAGGGGAGGGGGTACTCCAAGGGGTTCTCAATCCTACCTGAGAAACGATCTTTTTCTACATTCAAGACAAAACAAACAAACACCCGGTCTCCCCCAAACAATACAAATGACTGAGAAACCACCGAGAACCTTCTGACTGGCCAAGACCACACAAAACAGAGAGGAGCTGACCTAGTCCAACCCCCTCTCTCTCCAGGTGAGGAAACCAAGGCCCAGCGGATTAGGGAACTCACTGCCTCTCTCTGCTCCCAAGTAAATTTGTGCCCACTTCCTAGCATGGTGATTCTCAACCTGAGCAGGGCAACAAAATCACGGAGGGCACTTAACTCACAAAACAATGCAATCAGCGAGGGGCCTTGCTTATCCCCCTCTCTGTGGCCCAGATCCTACCCCAGATCTACAGAATCTCACAGTAAAGACCAGATATATGTTTTAAAAGCTCCGAGATGCGTCTAGGCATATTGCTAGTTATCAGTTATTCAAGTAAAACACACACACACACAAACCCTCCACCTACTTGTTACTCATCCCTCTCTCTCTCCACCAAACACGCTCGGAGAGAATGGGTAGCGTTTCCGCAGCCTTGGACCCTCTCCACCCTTTGTCCATCCCTCTGCCTAGCGGGATGAGATTTTCAATGAGTCTCAGCAGAATAATGGAACCAGCGGAAGGAGAGGGCCCATTCTTACCCGCAGAGTGTTCGGATCGCGCTGTGGGGAGTTCGGGGGCCCCATATTGGCGCACAATGCCCAGGGCTTTCCCTCCCGCCCCGCAAGGACAGCCGCGTTCCGAGCGAACGCCCGCTTCTCCCCTCCCCCCGCCCGCCTCCCCGCCTCGGGCCTCACCAGCCGCGCTGCCCGCCGCCTCCACTCCGGCCTCGCTGTCCGACTCGGGCTCTGAGTCTTCCGCGTAAACCGCCAGAGAAGACAGGACGCTCTTCTTCCCCGCCATCTTACTCCCAGGGCCGCGGGGCGGCCCACGGCGCCGACTCCCGCGAGCCGACTTCCGCGCCGAAAGGCGGCCTCTTCCGGATCCCAGAAGGCCCCGCGCGCGTTTCAAGCCGGGAGCCAATCAGAACGGCTGTTTCTGCGCTGGGCCCCGCCCCTCACCCAGCGCTCGCTCTACGTCATTACCGCACGACGGAAACGCCCGATTGTGGTGTCCAGCTGGTTGGCTTCTCAGAGTTGGCGGTGGCGATGGGGGTCTAGGAGTAGTTCCCGAACCTGCAGGCGACGGCCGCCCTCCGAACGAGAGCCCTCCGCTCCAGGGCGGCCCGCGGCCTGCTCTGATATCCTGGGGTGAAGCGGGGTGGGGGCTCAGAGACGGAAAGGGGAGGAGCTCTCACCCTGGGAGTTGGGAAGAAGGGATCCGGTCCTGGGGGGAAAGAATGGGCCTCATGGCTATGCTTAGAGAAGGAGCAGAGGGTGGATCTTATTTTTATATATATATATATATATATATATATATATATATATATATATATATATATATATATGTTTGTTTTTTTTTTTTGTTTTTTTTTTTTACAGAAGGGAAGGGAGAGTGATAGATCGATGAGAGAGAAACATTGATCAGCTGCCTCCTGCACACCCCCTACTGGGGATGTGTCCCAACCAAGGTACATGCCCTTGACCTGAATCGAACCTGGGACCTTTCAGTCTGCAGCCTGACGCTCTATCCACTGAGCCACACCGGTTTCTGCAGAAGGTGGATCTTAGACAAACAATTCCACCTTCTCCAAATGATTCAGAAGACGTTTGCGTTTTTGCTCGTCTGATTTCTAGCTTCTCTGTGCATACGGGGGCCCAGGATATAGTTCAGTGTTTTTATTTTCACTGCTGTGAAAGTGGAGATGTTAATTATTGGTGTATTACTTGAAAATTATATATTGCTTGAGTAGTGTAATCAAGCAAATTTATACTAAAGAGAAAAAAATAGGCAGTATTTTAAAAGCAGAACAGGGTTTCTGTCACAACCCTGTGGTCACACCTTTGCCTTAACCTTTAGCTACTGTCTGTCGCTAAGATGACCACCCACCACCGTTCCTCTCCCTTTGACCCTGAGCATCGAGTCCGGAGCACACTGAAGAAGGTCTTCGGGTTTGACTCTTTTAAGACACCGTTACAGGAGAGTGCCACCATGGCTGTAGTGAAAGGTAACGAGGCCACACTTCCTCTGCTTACATGGACCCCGGCGATACCACAGCACTGCCGTCCTGCACCCTCCTCCTGACCCCTCCCACTCCCACCCTTGGTCCATAATTGGTTTTGGAAATCTGATCGACCCCAAACTTGCAGTTTTATGGGCAGAACCACCCAGCTGTTCTGTTTCTTACATTGCATAGGCAGAGCTACAGTCTGTCTTTGAAAACAGGTCATTGATGCCTATTGGTTTGTGTGGGAGTGGCCGCAAAGGCCTCAGCCAGTCACTGACCTAGGTCATCCCTTTGTTAAAGATTGAGTGGCCTGGGTCCCAACTAGGGAAGAATTCATAATTATTATCAACTTGGAGATTTGTGGACAAATGGAGGTTGTCAAGAGGGGAGCAGCTGTGTACTGTTAACTGCACTGTGATGTTTATAAACAAGACATCTGAGTGATGTTGCTTCCATGCCTACACAGATACACTCATGCAGAAGCATCAGCTTTCATGGCTACTTAGTTCAATCTTCTATATCCCAGCAGACTCAGACTTCTTACCATTGTAGTTGTTACTGCCATGATCAGAAATGGTTTGTGTGCTTTTCCAAATGTCCCTGTGTCCCTTTTCATAGAAAGGATGGGAGGGGAATTAATATATTGAGACACCCTCCCGCCCCGCCCCCCTCCCACTTCCTACCCCCGCTAGGGCTTTTCCTACACTTGCTTAATTTCCAATAGCCTCGAGGAAGGAAAGATACAAGGCAGGAAGCACTGAGACGCTGTCCTCTTGTATCTTTTCAGGAGACAAGGATGTTTTCGTGTGCATGCCCACAGGGGCAGGGAAGTCCCTCTGCTATCAGCTGCCTGCTCTGCTGGCCAAAGGCATCACGGTGGTCATCTCTCCCCTCATTGCACTGATTCAGGTGAGGCTTAGGGACATGAAGGTGCTGGCCCAGAAAGTTTAGGGGAAGGTTGTTTGAATCGCTGGAAATTTCACTTCTGCTTTCTTTGGTCTTTTGCCGCTTACATTCTTTGATTTGCTTATCCCCCCCTCTACTGGGTTTCTAAATTGCCCATATGTGGGCTTCTCCACTAGTGCGTAGTACTGTGTGGTCTCTTACCTTCACGTGTTACTTTTTGTCCAGATGGACATGGAACTGTCTCGTGCACACGCTTGCAGATGGGTAGAGTGCTAATTGATGCGGCGGGGGGGGGGGGGGGGGGGGCGCGCGCCGATCTCTGGCGTCCTGCTTTGTTCTGGCAAGGGTGCATCTAGGATAGAAAAACGGTGAGAGGCCGATTGGGATGTTGTTAACACCTGCTCTCGGCCAGAATCAGAAATGAGGAAGTGTAGCCGTGTACTAGTGGTTAAGAGCTATCAACCGTGAAGAAAGAGACAGGAAAGAACGATAAGAGTGCTTAATGGGCGGTTGCTGGGGCTTTATGTGCATTCATCACACCTTTGAGACAGAAGATTTCATTCTCACGACAATCCTATTAGGGGTCACTATTTTATAGGAGAGAGAGTGAGGAAATGGACAGGCTAAAGAACCAGCCCTAAAGCATGTGGCAGGTAAGTGAGCAAGGATTAAATCCAGGTCTATCTGCCCGGCCGGTGTGGCTCAGTGGTTGAGAGTCAACCTATGAATCAGGAGGTCAATGGTTGATTCCCTGTCAGGGCACAAGCCCGGGTTGTGGACTCAATTTCTCATAGGGGGCGTGCAGGAGGCAGGCAGTCAATGATTCTCTCTCATAATTGATGTTTCTTTCTCTCTTCCTTCTCTGAAATCAATAAAAATATATTAAAAAATAATCCAGGTCTGTCTGGCTCCAGAGAGCCATGTCCCCTTCAGTCCTCCTTGCAGGCAGAGAAAGGACGCATTGGAGGGTGGGAGGAGGGCGCTAGATGATTGGGAAATAGCCCTGAGATGCTGAGGGCCCGTTGACTTCGCTCAGTGCGTTTCCCCTTCTGCCCTCAGGACCAAGTGGACCACCTGCTGGCCCTGAAGGTGCGAGTGAGGTCCCTGAACTCCAAGCTCTCGGCGCAGGAGAAGCAGGAGCTGCTGTCCGACCTGGAGCAGGAGAAGCCCCAGACCAAGCTCCTGTACATCACGCCGGAGATGGCGGCCTCCGCCTCCTTCCAGCCCACCCTGAACTCGCTGGTGTCCCGCCACCTGCTCTCCTACCTGGTGGTGGATGAAGCTCATTGTGTTTCCCAGTGGGGACACGACTTCCGCCCCGACTACCTGCGCCTGGGTGCCCTGCGCTCCCGCCTTGCACATGCCCCGTGTGTGGCGCTGACCGCCACGGCCACCCCGCAGGTCCGGGAGGATGTGTTTGCGGCTCTGCACCTCAAGCAGCCGGTTGCTGCCTTCAAGACCCCCTGCTTCCGGGCCAATCTCTTCTACGACGTGCAGTTCAAGGAGCTGCTTTCCGATCCCTACGGGAGCCTGCGGGACTTCTGCCTGAAGGCGCTGGGCCAGAAGGCTGGGAAAGGGGTGAGGGCACCGAGCTGGGAGCACAGAGCTGGGAGCACAGCTGGGGAGCACAGAGCTGGGATTGCTTGTCTAAGACCTTGGCTTTTCCTGGCTTTCTTAGCCCAGACGAGCTGTAGCTGCTTAAAGCACAGGCTCGTCCCTCTGGCTTCCTGGCGTTGTCCCTTCACTGGGCGGAAATCCTCTGGCTGTGGCCTCTGCTGACCTACCTGGTCAGGGTTTGGGGGAGGAGCAGAGGACTTTGGTTGGCTGGGCCCCAGGAGGGCTGAGCCACTTCTGTCCTGCTCTGTGAGGGCAGAGCCCTGCTGGGCGGCCTGCCTCGGGGAGACTGGGGCTGATGGGAGACCGTGCAGAGCTCCTGCTACGGACACCGCAGGACGATGGGCTGATGGCTCGCTTTCCCAGCGCTGATTTCCTTCCCGTGTCCTGTCTCCGCCGTCAGGTACTGTCCGGTTGCGGCATCGTCTACTGCAGGACCAGAGAGGCTTGTGAACAGCTGGCGATGGAGCTCAGTTCCAGGGGGTTGAGTGCCAAGGCCTACCACGCAGGTGAGGGCCGCCTGGGCCACGTGGTCCCTCCCCTCTCAGGCCTCTGGGCGCGTTTCTTGTTCCCGTGGCCCCTGAGAAATCAGATGGTCTGACGTCAGTCCTCGCTTCCCGGGCGGAGCTAAAGTGGTTCCCTTAAGTCCACAAGAAGGCGTCTGGCCAAGAACGGGTTCTAAAATAAGACTGGGACTCTGAACGCTCTCTCTCGCCCTGGGCCCAGCAGCCGGGGAGCAGTGGGTACGGCCCAGCTGCTGGCGGTGTGGAAAGGGCACCTGCTCTGGAGGCCAGCGGACCTGGGTTTGAATCTCGGCTCTAACCTTCACTGAGAACACAGCCGGGGCCTTTATGTGTATTAGCTCAGGCTCAGAGAGGCTGAGTGCAGGAAAGTAATGAATTCAGGGTGTACATAGTGTCAAACCCAACACAGACCCCAAGAGAACCCCAAGGGAAATGCGAGCTCCCTTCTCCCCCTTCCCCCCTTTGTAGGGCTGAAGGCCTCTGAAAGGACGCAGGTGCAGAACGAATGGATGGAGGAGAAGGTCCCCGTCATCGTTGCCACCATCAGCTTCGGGATGGGAGTGGACAAAGCCAACGTCAGGTGAGCTCTGGTTCTCGTCTTACCTCCCTGGTCAGGGCCCGGCTCGGGTGGGCTGCCAGGGGGACCAGGCCCCTCGTTCCTTCTAGCGCCAGCGGGCCCTGTGAGAGGTGGAATGAACCATCTTAACCTGCTCCTGCGGGAAGTCGGAGGGAGAGTGCTTGTTCCCACCGCCGCTGGTTACTGCCGGCTGACGGGCCGGAGGAGACATACAGCCGGCCTCCCTGGCCCCGCTGGCAGCGGTTGGCTCTGGCCTTGGGGAGACATTTGGGCTGCAGACCGAAGCGCTGGGTTCTGGATAGCCCCAGCAGTGATCAGCGCACGGCTTACGGAGCTCTTCTGCACACACAGTCTTGTACTAGCCACACCTCACCCTGGGGTCCACTCTGCCTGTTCGCCCACCCAGCCCTGCTCACTGGCGAGCCCTGCTCCACCTGCTCAGAATCACTCCTCCCTCGGTCTCCTGCCTCGCCTCATGCTGCTTGCCCTTTGGGTCCTGCAGGTTTGTCGCCCACTGGAATATTGCCAAGTCTATGGCTGGGTACTACCAAGAGTCTGGCCGCGCGGGCAGGGACGGGAAGCCCTCCTGGTGCCGCCTCTATTACTCCAGGAGCGACCGGGACCAAGTGAGCTTCCTGGTCAGGAAGGAAGTAGCAAAACTGCAGGTAAGTCCCAGGCAGTAGGAGCCCTTTCTGTCCAAGCTCACCACTCCGATTTCGCGCAGCTTAAATCTGAACTCAGGTGGAGATTCTGTAAATGGGAGGGGCGCTTCTGGGGCCAGACGGTATAGCAAAGGGGAATTGTACGTTGGTTGATGGGCATTGCAACAAGTGGTTAGACTCTTTTTAAGATTTTAAAATTGATTTTTAGAGAAGGAGGGAGAGAGAGAAACATCCATGTGAGAGCAAAACATCAGCCGTCTGCCTCCTGCACGCCCCCTACCAGCGATCGAGCCCACAACCCACGCAGGTGCCCCGGCAGGATATCGAATTGGCAACTTATCGGTGCATAGGACAACGCCCAACCAACTGAGTCATACCAGCCCGGGCTAGACTTCTCTCTTTATGTTACTTTATCTTACTACTGTCTTGTGTGTGCATGCTGTTTCTCATAGTCAAGATCAATCCTGCCTTGTTTTAATCAGCATTGTTACATAAGCACTTTCTCATATTTTTATATAAGTTCTTTTTCTTTTTAGTCTTAAAAAGAAAACTGAGCATGCATTCTTTGTACAGAGCTTAGAAACAGACCCACGTATATAAGGAAAATTGATGTCACACAGGTAGCATTGCAAATCAATAGAAAAAGGAAGGGAAGAGGATATCAAGATTTGAAAAGCAGAAACCATCAAGGAAGATACTCTTATTTGACTAAATTCAAACTAAAAATTTCTATAAACACAGTGATAAAGGAGCCATTGCTGGGGAAGTGTTTGCAGCATACGTAAGTGACCGAGCACGTAGGGAACTCTTACAGGTGAGGGAAAGGTGGCTGCTGGGAGCAGAAGTCTGAGTGTCACAGGGAAGGAAACCGGACTGGTGAGCGTGGGAAGAGATGCTCACCATCACGGAGGGACGGGAGAAACGCAGGCCGGGTGACGAGCTGCTGACGCCCACCAGAGCGGCAGCCATGGAAACCCTCTGGGGACATGGGGAGGGCGACTCAGTGCTGTCAGGAGCGGAAACTCGTCCGGCTGCTTCGAAGAGAGGAGGCGATAACACGTAAGGGGAGGATGCTGTGCTCTGTGATTCGGTAACCCCACGTCTGCGTAGACTACCTGTCAGGTGTACAGGGATGTACAGGGATGTTGGCTGCAGCACCTAATAGTCAGACTCTTCCTCTGTAGAGTGTTGGATAAGAAAACAGTGGGTTAGTCACAGGGGAACGGGCTAGAACAGAGAAAAATGACCCGGGAAATCTACGTGAATCAACGTGGATAAATCCCCCAAAGCATAATGTGTGAAGTTGCAAAAGAATACCTGTTGCCAAAACCGGTTTGGCTCTGGATAGAGCGGGCCTGTGGACTGAAGGATCCCAGGTTCAACTTCAGTCAAGGGCATGTACTTTGGTTGCGGGCACATCCCCAATGGGGGGTGTGCAGGAGGCAGCTGATCGATGTTTCTCTCTCATGGATGTTTCTAACTCTCTATCCCTCTCCCTCTCTGTAAAAAAAATCAATTAAAAATATATATGCGTATAAAAGAATACATGTAGAGTTTTCCTAAAGAACGATGAAACACAACTACAGTATTATTTCCAGTCCCATTAAAAGGACAACAGAACCGTGCGCGCACACACACACACACACAAACACTTGCGGGGATAAGGAGGACAGGAAAGAAGACACCAGGAGATAGGAATGTCAATGCATGTCTGCCCATTTATAAGAATTTATAAGCAAACCTGGCGAGCCCTAGCTGGTTTGGCTCGGTGGGTAGAGCGTCGGCCTGTGGACTGAAGAGTCTCAGGTTCAATTCCAGTCAAGGGCACATACCTGGGTTGTGAGCTTGATCCCAGTAGGGGGCGTGCAGGAGGCAGCCGGTCAATGTTTCTCTCTCAGCATTGATGTTTCTCTCTCTCCCACTCTGAAATAAAAATTTTAAAAAAATTAAAAAAAGAAAACCTGGCAAGACGGATGAATGTAAGACCTATTTTTAAAAGCAGCAGCTTTTCTGTGCATTAGCATAAGTACCTAGGAATGGAAATGAAAAAGAAACCATAAACTAAATAGATCTGGAAAAATATAGAATGTGGAAGGCAAACAAAAGGCTGGAGTTGAGACTAAATAGAGAGCTTCCACGCCCTGCACAAAACCAAGGACATGAGAAAAGCTCATCTGGAGACGGTCATCAGTGACCACATACATGCAATCTCAAGTGAAAGGTTTGGCACGTGTGTGGCCCGGGGACGGGCCTGCGTCCCCCTTAGTTACCCAGGTAATGCTGGGGCGCCGTTTTGTAAGTGGCTTTCTTACTCTAATTTGATGATTTTCTCTCATTTTTTGAGCTACAAGGTAGTTCACTTATGTAAGTCTTGTGCTAAATGGTCGTTGCCTTTTTTAAACTGGATTTATTGGGGCAACATTGGTTGATAAAATTATACGGGTTCCAGGTGTCCAGTTCTGTGACACATCACCTGCACGTTGTATTGTGTGTTCACCACCCCAAGCCAGGCCTTCCTCCATATCCCCCCTCCCACCTCCCCCCGCTTCCCCTCTGGTCACCACCAGACCAAATGTCGCTTCTTGTCTCCAGGAAAAGAGGGGGCACAAAGCCTCTGACAAAGCAGCCCTCCTGGCCTTCGAGGCCTTGGTGACCTTCTGCGAAGAACTGGGGTGAGTGACTCATCCGCATGTTTCCTTACAAAATGTCACTGCGATCTTTGCCACGCCCCGCACCCACTCGTTAACCAGCTAACGTGGGGCCACTCTGGCCACCAGGGACCCTGCCTGCATGGGGGGTCTCCGGCCAGGCAGCCTGGAAGTCGGGGACCCTTTCTTTCTCGGAAGGCCCCAGAAACAGACGGCGGGAGGACCTGTTGATGTTTTGGGTCGTCGTCCATCCACCCTGCTTTTCCCCCCTTTGGAATGGATGGCCCCGTGCGCAGCTCAGGCCTGAGCCCCTGGCATTGTGGTCATCATGTGCCACTGAGCAGGGCCTCTGGCTTCACTGGAGGAGAACAGGCATGTGGCGAGGCTTCTCTCTCGGCGGGTGTGCGTGACGGGCTTGGCGAGAGATCAGCTTCCCTCAACTGCGCCAGCCTGCCCGCTGGAAACTCGGTATCTAATCTGCATGTGCTGCCCGCGGGCCGCCAGGAGCCGGGAGCTGCGGTGACCGGCAGGGGCGGCGGGCAGGTTCCGAGCCCGGCCGCTGTGAGCAGTGCGGGCGGGACGTCCGGGGGGCTCTGGCCAAGCTGGGACCCCCTTGCACTTGTTAGCCCTTCGGTCTAAACGCTCCTCCATCCTCCGCTTCCTGAGCTGCGGCCATGGGGAGCGTTTGACTATTCGTGACCCGGCTCTTTACCTACTGGTGTCAGAGGGAATGGCCGTTAGGTTTGAAGCGACCTCCAGCCTCCAGGCCTCCCTGTGTTTTGGCCTCGATTGAACTGGGCTCTGGGGAGCCGCGGGGGACTCAGTGGTGAGCACAGGGACCTGCTTAGAGGGGGCTCGGCTCAGTGAGCAGACAGACGCTATCAGAGAATCACACAAAATGTATAACCCAGGCTGTCAGGGGCTGTGAGGGGAAGGTCGGCAGTGTGCGGAGAGGGGACAGGTGGCCCCCCTCCTGGGCCCCGAAAGGCAGGTCATGACTCTTCGGACGGGTCCGCCTTCTCAGGCAGCGGGAGTGCCCCAAACACGATGGCGAACAGCATGAGCAGCAGCATGGTGATGATGAAGATGCTGATCACGGCCAGGCCGCCCTGGTCCCAGGGGTTCTGCCAGAACTCTTCCTTCCAGAGGCGCCTCTGGTCTCCGGCCAGTATGTCCATGCGGACCTGAGGGGACAGAGGTGCTGAGGGCAGGGCCTCTCCACCCGCCCCGGGCACCGGCCCGCCCCCAGGTTCACCCGCTGGGCCATCTCCGAGACCGCAGAGGCGGAGGCGAGAGCAGGACTTCCCCTCCCAGCCTGAGGCCTGCTCGGCTAAAGCTTCTCGCTAGTCCTATTTTCCTGCCTCGATGGGCGAACATTGGAAGCATTTTGAGAGATCAGCATGGCTGCGGAGGAGTGGACAGCCCGGAGCGGGGCCCTCCAAAAACAGCCTGCAGCCAGCAGAAGGAGGCAGGGCAGAGAAGGAAGGAGTCTTACCTGACTCTGCGGTTAACACTCCTGAGTCCTGAGAGGGCGGACGGGGTGACCTTTAGGAGCCCACACTTAGGGGACGAGCTGGAGAGGCCAGCAGGTGACCAGAGCTGTGCTCTGACTCAGAAGCAGCTGATGGGAGGGAAAGGTGTCCTCAGTGCCAAGTGGCCCTGACCAGACCTCATTGCTGTCACAAAGGTGGGCCAGAGCCCGTTACCTAGCAACTTCTGGTCCCTTTCTGCCATTCACACTTCCTCCCTCAGCTGCATTCTGTCCTCTGAGGTCATGGGGGGTGGGGGGGGACACGGTGCTGCTCGGGGCACAGGTGTGGAGCTGTCCTGACTAAGAGAAGTCAGCCTTGGGTGAGTGGGGGAGGAGACTGGAGCCAGGGCCCTTGCCCCAGGCCTTCCATCGCCTCCGGAAGCGGGTCCTGCCTCCCTCTGGCAGGGTGAGCTGTGGCCAGAGCCGGGAGCTCAGGCGCCCTGGGGCTGGAACCACCCCTCAGGCTCCCTCCTGCGGGGCAGGGCCAATGGGTAACTGCGCCTCCTGCTGGCACCTCCTGGAACCCCTCTCTGGGCGGAAGTGCTTATCCCCATGGAGGCTGTGGGTGCTGTGGGCCTACCTTCTCCCGGGCCTTTGTCTGCAGCCGCTTTGTGTGGTTGGCTGCTGCCCACGGGTGTGACAGGCAGCTAGGAAGCGGGAACGGCCGGTGCCCTGGCATGGGATGCCTGGCGGCCACCGCTCACTCCACAAGTCAGGTGTCAAGCTCCGCTGTGCCAGGCGCTGCTGCCCAGCCTGAGTCAGAGAGGCAGGCCCTCCCAGAGCTGACATTCTGGCGCCCTGTCCTCACCCGGCTTGTAGGACCACCGTCCTAGGAGCTTTTCTAAGCGCCTGCCCAAGCCGCGGCTCCTACCACTGACGTCACTCCCTGGGCGTGTCCCCTGCTTCAAAGAACTGGCCAGGTGATGCGGATGTGCAGCAGGTGCAAGTCCCTCTGAGCAGCATGGGCTTCACTGACCAGGCCGACCTGACTAATGCCAGTGGCCTGCTCACCGCTCCCGGCCCTGGGCGGGTCTGTAGGATGCCCTGCACTTCCGCTCCATCCGTGAAGTCAATGCTTACCAAGAATCAGCCGGTCGTGCCTAACCTGTTTGTGGCGGTTGTCATTGTAATTACATAATTGCGCTTAATATTACGTGGAAAATGAAGCAACAGGGATAGCCGAAGCCCCAGTTTCACAGCTGGGCACGCGCATAGGGCCGAGGAGTGAGAGTGCTGGGTGTGAACTCCGCTCCGGAGCCGCGCGGACCTCAGTGCGTGGGGAGCCGTCTCTCGGTCACTGCCTCTCTGACCGCTCTGGTGTGACTCCGGAATCATTCACCTAATGTTCCCGCCCATGTGCCGCCGCGGTGCGGACGGCTGTGCACGTTCTGTGCAAATGCAGGAGGATCTCCCACTCGGTGTCTCTGGAGGTGTTTTTATGTTCTTGCTCTGCTTCCACGAAACCAACGAGACAATCCAGGAGCTCTGGGCAGCGAGCCACCGGCGTCAGGAAGACCGTTGCCTTCGCCACCTTTTCAGTCACTTGCTGGCCCCGACCAGAACATGCTGCTGAGGGGACCCCCGTGGACAGCAGTGGGCTGGGAGGGGGAGCGGGTGCTGGTGCCTGTGGGAGCCTGGCCGGGGCCTGAGGGGACGCCCCGGAACACACCGAGGCTAGGTCACACCTGGAATTGGGAGCTGGGTTCTGTGGCAGGCGGCTGGCCCCAAGGACGGTGAGGGAACTGTCTTCAAGGACGAATTGGTTCGCCTCAGTGTTTTATGGTCTGGAACTGGTTTTACCCACAGCAGATAGGCTCGTCGCCGGGAAGGTTTGGTTGTGATTGCTTTCGGTAGTTAATGTTTGAGAGACAAGTTGCAGGACCAAACCGGTTTGCGGGCTCTGCGCCACATTTTGCAGAGCCTTCAATGACTCCTGCACGGGTGGCTGCACGGTGGCGTCTGAAAAGGCACGTTGTACAGACGGTGGCTGCACGGCCTTCAGTGCAGAGTGAGCCCTTTTGAGGAACTGAGAGCTCAGGGGCCACGGGGAGGCCCGGAGAGCCTGCTGGGCGAGCTGAGCCCGCCTCGGACACGGGCAGCCACCGCAGGCGGCTGCGGCTGCGGCTCGGTCCAGCGGCTGCGGCTCGGACCAGGGGCTGCGGTCCAGAGGGGAATGGAGAAGTGTTGGGTCTGGAGTCAGCCAGACAGTCTGGTCTCAGAGCCCAAGACAACCTGAAGGCGCCCCTTCCAGGGCCACCCCCCATCCTGCTGTGCCTGTTTCTCCTTTCCCACCACGGGGGCCTCGGGGGTGGGATTGCTGCCGTCTGTCCATCCCACCTGCCCCAGAGACACCCAGGCTGGCAGCTGCCTTCACTGACGCAGCTCTGGGTGTGATTGAAGCCAGCCTGGGGCTTGGCCCAATTGGCAGGGGGTGGGGAGGGCTCAGGGTGTGCCCTTTTGCCAAGGAATGGGGAGGAGCCAGTCCCCTGAGGACAGGGACATGTCTTGTTTGGACACAGCAGTTAGTACTGTGTGGCCCAGAGGAGAAAAATGCAAATAAACCAGCCCGCCCGCCCGTCAGCATTGGGGCTGTCCCTGTGTCCTCCACCTCCTGGCAGCTGGACCAGGAAGCAAGGCTCTTTTCTAACAAAGAGGTCTGTGCTCAGCCACCCCCAGGAAGGACATCCTTCATGTATGTGTATGTGTATATACACATATGTATACTTTTGCATGTCATCCTTGCACAGGGGCCATGCTCATCTTCTCTGTGTTGTTCCAGTTTTAGTGTCTGTGCTGCCAAAGCGAGCACGGAAGGGACATCTCCATGCGGGTGAAGTCGCAGGGACTGGGCCGCTGTGCTGTTGGAGCAGCTCCTGGCCCGGGGCTTCCTGGGGACCCTCCAGCCGGTGCGGTGGCGGTGGCGGTGGTGCCGGGACTGAGGGAGGCAGGGCCTCCCCCCAACCCCCTCACCTTCCTCCTGGAATTTTCCTTCCAGGAGCGAGGCCTGGTTGGCCCCACCCGCTCATGGAGGTTATTCTGAGACAGTTGGGATGTGGTGTTTGGGATGTGGGGTTTGGTGGAGGTGAAGGAATTAGCCTTCGCTCCGGGAGGTGGGCTGGGGGTGGGAGTGGGGGCTCTGTGGCCGGAGGGGGGGGTGGGGGGCGGGGAGTGGGGAGGCTGGCCCGGAGGCGGCTCTGCCCTCTGCAGCTGGCTGAACGTAGACACATTATCCAGCGTCACTCAGGCTCAATTTCCTCATCTTTAAAAAGCGGGTGCTAGTGTTATCTGCAGCTTTGTCATTGCGATGATTACATGATGCCGCAGACTCTTACGACAGTGCCTGAGCACGCGCCTGTGAGCCTCTGGGTTTCTGTTGCCTTTATGGCCGCACCATCGTCACTGTTGTCATCAGCTTTCTGAATCCCATTCTTCAGGGAGAGGGGTGGGGTTGAGAATTCGGCAGATCTTGTACAGATGCACTTCCTCTCTGAATCTCCCATCAAAACCAAACCCACAAGTCCCTGGACACCAGGAAGTGAAACAGCCAGAGCGCTTCCCCGCCCGCCTCCAGCTGGGGGGGCGGTGGTGGCAGGGCTGCCGTCCCCTCCCCGCCCCGTTTTCTGGGCCACAGGCTCCTGCCCTCAGGCGGCCAGAGCATGGGCTGCCCGGCCAAGGTGACAGAGGCACACGCACACCTCTGTGGCTCTGGGGACCAGTGGGGACGGAGGAGCCTCTGCCTCCCTGCGTCATCCTGGGCTAGCACCCCCGTGCCCTGTTCTCTGGGAGAGAGCGGACTGAGGCGCAGGGGGACATCTCCAAGCTCTTAGCACGTGTCCTGCGGTGAGCCAGTGCTGGACGGGCCATCTCTGTCATCCTGAGCGCGCCCAGGAGCAGTGACAGGACTAGCCCTTTTCCCAGGGAGCAAGCGCGGCTCGGGCAGGGTGCCTCACTGACCCGCGTTCCAGCTGGAGGCTGGCGAGGGTTTGAGGGCGAGGGCATCGGGACACAGGCGTGGACAGAACTGGGGCCGGGCCCCTCTCTTTCTCGGCAGTAGGGGAAGACCAGAGGCCTGAGCCTCCAGCACGCAGGTGCTGGCTCAAGCTAATGGCAGTGGCAGCTGCCGAGTGGCCTGTCAGAGCCAGCACATGCCCGGGACATGCAGCGCCCATCACTGCCCAGTGGGCGCCTGGAGCCGGAGCCCTCCGCAGCTGGTGGTGACAGGCATCGCCCTGCCCCCGGCCTGGTCCCCCTGCATCCCGCCGCGTGGTCCTCCCGCTCTCTCGGGCACAGGAGCGCGCTGGCCACGCCCCGGTATCTGGCATGCAGCGCTGCTCACGCACAGAACCCAGCCCAGCGAGTCTGATGCCCGGAAACATAATGCAAAAGCTTTTACTGGGAAAGAAACAGGCAGACCCTGGGCCGGGATGCTGACACGCTCCCTCTGGCGGGGGGCGGGGGCCCAGGAGCCCTTCACAAAGTCCCCGCGCTGGGCGGCTCCTCTGGGCGTGGTCTGGTCAGCAGAACCCCAAGGCCAGCTGCCCCAGGTGCGGGCTGTTCTCCGTCGAGGTTTGGGGACCCCGCTTTCGTGTTTTGCTAAAAAGTGCAGGTTGCCAAGATCCCCGGTGGTGGGCTCTGTCCTTGAAATGGCGGCTCCTCCTCGGCACCGTGCTCACTGCGGGGGGAGGTCCTGTGACCGTAACGGCCCTGGCTTCCTTGACAAGCCCCCACGTGCCGGGTCCGGGTCCGGGTCCTGGGCGGGGCCAGAGCCGTGGCCGTGGACTTGGTCTCGAGGAGTCAGGGCTGGGGGCCAGGCCGACACCGGGCGCGGCGTCACAGTCTCCTCCAGCTTCTCGGTCAGCCCCCCGGCCTCATGGCGGGGTCACAGGCCGCACCTGGGCCTTCCTGGCCCGGGGCTCGGGGCAGCAGCACTGCGTGCAGCAGCAGCTACAGGCCACCAGCAGCAGCAGCAGCACGGTGCCTGGAGGCGGGACAGGCAGAGGGCACCGAGCTCCGAGGTGGGAAGAGAAGGAACGCCCACCTGTTCCCCACAGCCCTCTGGAGGGTGTGGGCCTCTGCCCGGAGCCGGGCACGCTGAGCACAAATGCCCTGGATCTCCATGCGGCCCTGGAGCCGGCCCTCCTCCCGGTGGCACCTCCGCCGCCTCCAGAGCTCTGGTCCCTTCATCCCTGGGCAGGATGCTAGGTGCCTCCGGTCCCCACACCGCCCAGCCCCTCCTTGGAGGCCTGTCCCAGGACCAGCGGAAATGCCTCGTTTCCCCCAAGGCACTTCTGCTTTCCCTCCTCTGCCTGGGAGATGCGAGCCACTCCGTCAGCCCCCCCAAACCCCCCAGTCAGCGCCATGGTCTCCCCTCCCGGGTGCGGGAAGAGCCAAGGAGAACCGGAGCCCGACTGACCTGTGAAGAGGACGATGACCGAGAAGGCCACGATCTCCACCGGCTCGGCCTGCGGCAGCCTCTGCAGCTTCAGCAGCAGCCTCTCCCCCACCCAGCGCATCTCCTGCAGGAAGTCGGCGGCCCCCATGCCGGCCAGCTCCTGGCTCCCGCCGGGGCGCTGCAGAGACAGAGCACCGAGTCTCCGAGATCCACCCTCCGCTCCCCTGGGCCGCAGAACGGGTTTGTCAGGTCTCACCCTGCCCCACTCGGCACACCTGGCGGCTCAGGAGGGAGGGAGCCGTGGGCCCCAGCTCAGCGGTGGGCCCCAGCCCCCCGCAGCTGGCACTGCCCGGGGGGAGGGAAGCTGGTGATGATGGCCTGAGGGGTCTGCCAGCTTCCAAGGTTGGCCGTTGTCTGTGTTCGGTTGACTTCGCGCTCACATTGCTGGGTCTCAGACAACAGTCCTAGGTTTCCCAGGTGCCCTGGACGGGCGGCTCCCCTGGTGGCCCTGGGTCACTCAGGACCGGGGTGCCGGCAGGGAGAACGGGGCCGAAGTGAAGGGCCAGCGGGCCTGCATGGGCGTGTTGTGGAGCAGAGGCCCCGCCCTCCACCTCACCTGGCCACGGGAGCCTGGCGTCTTAGGACAGGGCAGCGCCATGTGCCACCCCAGCCTGCACCTGCTCTCCAAGGCAGCTGTATGCCAGGGCGGCCGACAGGTGGCCGGGGCTGTGCCAGGCCTTGGGCTCTGGTGACTGCGCCGCGTCCCGGGGTCAGCCAGGGGTCGTCCGGGGGCGGCTGTGGTGCCTGCGTAGAGCCGCCCTCTGCCCTGGGCCGCCTCCAGGCCCTCTCTGGCGGTTTGGCCAGCTGCCCGCCGTAGCTCTGTGTGCCCCGTCTTGGATTTGAAGCTGCCCCCCTTCCTGCTTCGGTGACTGATGTCTCCTCTGAGTCTCTCTCGTTACGGGAGGAAGAGGTGCCAGTGTTTCGGGGCTGGGGGGGGACTGGCCACCTGGCAGCACAGAGCCTGGCACAGGGAGGAGCCCAGCCCATGGGGCTCCCCCTGGGTGGGGTCTGGCCAGCGCAGGCGAGTGGAGGTGGCTGTGGGGTAGGACCTTCCTGCAGCACCTGGGCAGTTTCACTGCGTCCTTCCTTCCGGCATGTTTGTGGCGTAGGAGGGGCGGGAGGGAGGCCGGCTGGGGACGGAGCTGTTTTAAGTGATGCTGGGGCGGCAGGCAGTGATGGCTCCATGGGAAACTAGCCGCTTTCCTGTCTAACGCGGGACCTTCCTTCTCTCAGCCCCTCCCGGGGCAGCCGCTTCCGCAAAGGCGACTGGGACCCGGTTCCCAAAGGTGCGAAGGCACGGACACCCAGAATGCCACAGGCATCACTCCTGCCTCCCTTCTTTTACAAATGGGGAAACTGAGACCCGAGAGAGGAAGTGACTTCCCGAGGTCACCGGCCGGACAGGTCTGACCAGCCCTCCCTGTGCGCCCCACCTTGCCTCAGCGGAGGCTGTCTCCTCTCCGGCGGCTCCTCTCTAACCAGCGAGCTAACCGCCCACGGGCACCACTGCCCAGCGGGGGCTGGGCTCGGTGCCCTGGGCCCTGGGGAGCAGGTGGGCTCTGCGGGGCAGCTGGAGGGCTGCTTTCCCCAGACCCGGCTCCCCCAGGCCCCGCCACCCCTGCTCTGAGAGAAGGTCCTCCATGTTCCTCCCAGGGCATAGGGCCATTCTCCAGTGGTCACTGAACCGCTGTCCCCCATTGACCCAGGACAGGCGGCTCCCTCGGGTCTCATTCCAGGGAGAAGGCACTGGGTTGAGGAGCTTTCTCTCTCCCTCTTCGTCCACACTCTCGGCTTTTCCAGCCTGCTTGGCCCGGTGCCTGCACTGCCTAATGTGTCCATCAGACACGCTCCTTAAGCGTGGACGGAGGGCAGGGGGAGCGCTTCACTGGTGCTCCCACCCAAAGCCCCAGGAGGGCGCAGAGGGTGTGGCATGGAGGCCGGCAGAGGGGCGTGGGGAGGAGGGAGGTAGCCGGGTTGGGAAAGCCGGGGTTTGTTGATCCGAAGCCTCAGCTCTAAAGTCAGCCTCCTCCAGGGATGTCAGAGTCAGAGAGCGCAGACCCCTGCCCGGAGGACCCGGCCCCCCAGGGGGACTGGCCAGCAGCAGGCGTGGACCGGGTGGCATGCTGGCCTTGCACCAGGGCCTCTGGAGACCAGAGCTGGCCAGCCTCGCCCATCGGGGCTGCTCCCTGGGCCCATCTGCGCCGGCACAGCGTGGGGCGGAGCCCCATAGCCCCCGGCTTCTCAGCTTGGGCTGGAGCAGGAGCTCCGTGGGGGCCCCCGGGAGCTGGAGGGCCCGTTCCTGAGAGGGAGCGGCACATTCCAGCTGGTCCCGGCGGTCCTCCCAGTGGGCTATTTAAAGCCAGGGCCAAGGGGGCGCCTGCCCGATATAGCCAGCAGCGTCAGGTGACCACGAGCTGCCGCCCCAGCTGCCGCTCTGGAGGGAGCCCTGGGGAGAGGGGTGCTCTGGGCTGGTTGGAGGGCGGGGGGCAGGCCAGTCTAGTGGGGCTACTGAGAATTCTCCATCTTTCTGATCTTTCTGTCTCTGGCTCACCAAATTCTGTAAAACTACCTTCCGCCTATGGACCAGGGAACCAGAGTCCCCCCCAACCCCGTGCTGGGGGGATGGGGACAGGGAGAGGGCAGGGCGACAGAAGCAGCCAGAACAAGCGTTGGCCCTTTTTGGACCTTCCCAGGGTGCTCCCCGTTGGAGCCGCCGGCGGGGGCGGGTGGGGGGGGGGGGTGAGCAGGGCAGAGGGCAAGGCTGGCCGAGCTGGCCGGACGGGACACATTCCTGAGTGTGTCATCTGGAACAGACAGCCTTGCAGCCGAGCGGCCAGGCGGCCAGACACCTGCCACTGGGACACAGCCTCCCTGCTTCCTCCCGCAGGGCTGATACCCGCTCCCCGGGAAGCGGCGGGCGTGTTTGTGACTGATAAGTACAGCGCTCAGGGCCGGGCTGGCTGCCGGCTCAGCCTGTTGTTCTGGGGGTTGGGGGATTGTAGCCACCCTGCCCCCAGGGCATGTCTCATGGAGAAAGAGCTAGAAAGAATAATAACCTGACCGTGTGGGAGGCCTGGGTGGCCGGCAGGGCAGAGGTGCCTGCCCCCGGTGTGCCCCAGCGAGCCGCCCCAGGACGCCCCTTTCTGTCTCCGCTCCGTCTTGCAGTGGGACCCTCCCCACCTTACCCGCTGCCTCTTACAGCCCAGTGACGTGTCTCCTCCCGTGTGCTGCCCCAGCTGCAGGACCGAGTCTCCCGGCCTCCGCCAGGCCAGAGCCCACAGCCCACAGCCTCTGCCGAGTCTCCCCAGTCACCGCCAGACCAGAGCCCACAGCCTTGGACGACCCTTGGCCCCAGGTGGCCGCGGGCCTTGTTTCTCCGTAGACAGGCTGTTCGTTTGGGGACGCACCGGCCGGGAGACTTTAACCCTGGCTGGAGGGCAGGGCCGCTCTCCATGCTGCCTGGAGGACACCTAAGGACAGTGTTACCTGCGCAGCAGAGGGCCAGGCACTAGGGACCCCCTCTTTGTCCTCCCCCCCCCAACTTCAGCCCCACCGTCCTCTCCTCCTCCCCCCCTCCCCGGCCCGGGTGGGAGACCGGCCCCCGCACTCCTGTGCAGCCTGTAGGGAGATGCGGGCTCGTGGGCTCTCAGTGGCTGAGCCCCGGGCTGAGGACACGGTGGTCAGCAGACCAAGCCCCCACGAGAGATGGCAGCGGCGGTGCTGGTCTGGACACAGGCAGAGCCGCCCGGGCCCTGCCACATGGCCGGTGGACCTGGCCAGGGCGGCGCTGCCTCGGTCCTGGGAAAGGGGAGCTCCGCGGGCGGGCGTTCCTCTCCCAAGCCGGGCAGCCCCATGCCCCGTGGAGGCCCCGAATGGAAAGCGCTTACCCTGATGTGCAGAGTAAGCGGCCCTGCCCCTCGGCCCGCCCGGTGCTGGGCGCTGCAAAGCAGGGAGAGCCCAGGTTGGAACTGGAAGCCAACTGCAGACTGGGACCAGTGTGTCCCCCACTGTGAATGGAGGCCCTCTCCTGCCCTCCTCCCTCCATCCCCTCCTCCCGCCCCTCAGCTGTGGCCACTCACCTGGGGGCTCAGGTGCCGGCGCTGCGGGTGCTGCCGCGGTGCCGGGGGCCAGGCAGCCCGGCCTCTCCTCCCGGGCCTGCCCTCGGCCTCCCGCCACCTCGCCTTGCTGGTCACCCGCCTCTGGTGACCAGTGCTGCTCCCGGTGCCTCTGCCCCTGGAGCCAGGGAGCGCTCCCTCCTCCCTCCTCCCTCCGCTGTGCTGACAGCCAGCTGCTATCTGGGCTTCAGCTTTTTCGTTGTCGGTCGTCCCGGAGATCCAAGTGTCAAATTACAGGGGCGGCCCCTGGGAGGAGCGGGGGAGCCGGCCACCGAGGGGGAGCCACGGGCGGGCGGGAGCCTGCGGAGAACTTGCCCTGTCCGGGAGGTCCCAGGAATGGCCCTGCTCCCGGCTGTCTCTGGCTTGTTCCTCCTCTTCCTCTCCCTCCTGGTGGGTGTGAGCTAAGCCACGTGGGCTGGGCCTGGCCGGGAGCTGATGAAGGGGAGGGTTCTCCGTTCCCCAGCCGCGATGACCCCAGGGAGCTTCCCGCCGAGGTGTGGAGTGGGCCGGGCGGGAGGGAGGCCGGCTCCTGGCTCCCGCCCTCCCCTCAGGAGGGCCTCTGGCTCACATCCCACCACCCCAACCTGCAACCTCAGGCAACTCCCCGGCTGGTCCTCACTCCGCCTCTCTAGGGAAAGAGTAAATAGCGGGGGAGGTGCCCGACCACCCAAGAAGCCAGCCCCACCCCCACAGGAATTCTGGGGACGGGCTCAGGAGTCCCAGTGACCTGGGAGTGGCCGTGCTCGGCCTGCTGGCAGGAGTGTGCCTCCGGCGGGGGGAGAGGACCCTGCGGTCTCCTTGCCAAAGAGCGTGCCAGGCCGTGGCTGCACTCGGGGCCTCGGGGCGGCTGCTGGGCCCTTTGGCATTTGGCTGGTTGTGCCACCCCGTCGACCAGACTGTGCCTGGAACAGGACAGGAGCCCACCCCAGCCTGCGTCTCCGAGCTGTCAATGGAGCCCTTTGAGTGTGAGCACAAAACCCCAGTGAGTCAGGCTTGGGGGAGGGGAGGGGTAAGGAAGCCAACCTTGCGGCCACACCACTTGGATGCCAGGGCCTCCCTGAGGCCGGACAGGCGGCCACTGTGCCGAGGTACCAGCTTTGGCGACAGAACGCGTTACTCATTGGTTTTCGGAGCGGCGCCGGCAGCGCCCTCTGGTGGCCGTCTTGGCCTCCTTGCTTCTGGCCATTCAGCGAGCATCCTCTGCTCAGCTAACGAAGGCAGCCACACCGGCTTCCCGGGGGCTGGGTGACAGTCGGCTCTTGTTCCTGAAGCTGCTCCTCAGGTCTCAGCTGTTACGGGTTTCTCGCACCAGCTCCTCTTGTCCCTGCGACGGGGCACCTGGACAGCTCTGCCCACACACACACACGCACACGCACACGCTTGCAGCTGGACTGGCCATTTGTGAGGGACTGGACAGAGCTGAACGACTCCTATGAGAGAGGAGTCTGCGATGCTTAACTCAGTGCCGACTGTAGCAATGCTCAGCCCGAGCTAGGGACTGCCCGGGCCCTCACCCGTCTCTGCCGTGCTGCCTGCTCCAGGTGCCGCCACGCCGCCATTGCCAAGTACTTTGGGGATGCGCCCCCCGCCTGCACCAAGGGCTGTGACCACTGCAAGAACCCCGCGGCCGTGCGGAAGCAGCTGGACGCCTTGGAGCGCAGCAGCAGCTGGAGCAGGACCTGCATCGGGCCCTCCCAGGGCAGCGGCTTCGACCCCGAGCTGTATGAGGGCGGCCGCAGGGGCTACGGCGGCTTCAGCAGGTGAGGCCAGTGCAGCCGGGGCCCCGCCCACTGGAAACGCCTGGCATTCTCTCCCCGGCGCCACCGCGGGGCCATCCTGCACCATGGGCCACGCTGGGGCTGCCAGGCCTCCCGAGGTGTGGAGGGGGGCAGAGGCCAGGCAGGGCTGCTCATGCCCAGCCTGCTCCCAGGTATGACGAGGGTTCTGGAGGCAGCGGGGACGAGGGCCGAGACGAGGCCCACAAGCGGGAGTGGAACCTCTTCTTCCGGAAGCAGATGAGTCTGCGCAAGGTGAAGGGGTGGGGCCTCTGGGGGCCCAGGTGAAGGGGTGGGGCCTCTGGGGGCCCAGGTGAAGGGGTGGGGCCTCTGGGGGCCCAGGTGAAGGGGTGGGGCCTCTGGGGGCCCAGGTGAAGGGGTGGGGCCTCTGGGGGCTCCAGGTGAAGGGGTGGGGCCTCTGGGGGCCCAGGTGCCGCCTGCTCGCTCACACCCTCAGCACCCCTTCCCCGGTGCTGACCTGGGTGCTGTCCCGCAGCGGGCGGGATGCCTCACCAGCCTTTCCTGTCCTCTTCCAGGGCAAAGACCCCAAGACAGAAGAATTTGTGGCCCCAGGTCAGTATAGGGGCCGTGGGCTGTTTCCGGGTGTGGATGGAGGGTGCCTCCTTGGGGGGTCGGGACTCCAGAGAGTAGAAGCCTCCCCGCTCCCCCCAGATGAGGACTGTCCGCTGAAAGAGGCTTCTAGCAGGAAGATCCCCAGGCTCACTGTGAAGGTAAGAGGTGGCGGCGCCTCACCCCGGCCCCCAGCCTCAGGCTTGTGTGAGCGCCTTCTCCCACTCCCCCCCGCAGGCCCGGGAGCACTGCCTGCGGCTGCTGGAAGAGGCGCTGGGCAGCAACTGCCAGGCTGCAGGCACCACTCAGGGGTGAGTGTCCCAGGTCCCGGGGCCGGGGAGGGTTCTCCACAGCCTGTTCCTGTGGAAGCTGCTGGAACTCTGGGTCCCCAGCCTGTCTGGGGGCTCCCTCTCCTGATTATGGCCCACCCTACTCCCAGGGGATGCGCCCCCTACAGCTCCACCACAGGGCAGGCTCGGTCACCCCAAGGGGCTGCAGGCTGCCCAGGGTGGCCAGGTTGGCCCAGAGCCATGTGCAGGGTCCCCCAGGAGCACCCACCCGGAGCTCAGCAGGCAGAGGGCTCAGGTCTGCCCGTCACCTCCACTCCCTCCTCAGACCGGACCTGCAGGCCAAGGCCGTGGAGATAGAACATGAGATGTTCCGAAACGCCAAGGCTGCCAACCTGTACAAGGCCAGCGTGCTGAAGAAGGTGGGCGGGGCAGGGTGGGCGGAGCTTGCTCCTGGTCAGGGTGGGAGAGGTAGCCCCCAGGCTGGCTGCCACCCCCCGGCCCAGGCAGCCCAGAATCCACTCCTCACCAAGCCACTCATTTGGGGGGAGCCCACTCACCGCTTTGCCAGCTGGAGGCCCTTCTAGCCAAGCCCCTAAAGACTGGACCTTGTCTAGTGTCCAGGCACCTATGGTCACAGACCACAGAAGCCCGCCTGTGGGGGCCTGGGTGGGGGCTGCGGGAGCCTGTGGGTGCCCAGCATGCCTGCCCAGCCTGCCCATCCTGCCCCAGGTGGCCGAGATCCATAGGACCTCCAAGGACGGGCAGCTCTACCACCCAGCAGGCAGTGCCAAGGGCTGCAGTGCCCATGCCGAGCCCCCAGAGCCCAACGAGCACGACATCCTGCCGGCCTCCCAGGTGTACTCGGTGAGCAGCGCCACTTCCTGTGGGGAGGGCGCCACTTCCTGTCCTCCAGCTACGGCACATCCCCGCCTCCCCGACAGCACCCCCAGCCCTGCTTCCCCTGACATCGCAGTCCTGGCGCTGGGGTGCCCCAGGCAGGCCCGTGAGCCTGTCTGCTCCCGCCTGCCTCTCCAGCCCCACAGCCTGACCCACCCCCACCCTTCGGATCGCCACTGGCACGGCCATACCTGGACCAGCCTGGGAGTGCTCTGGAGGGGCCTGCTGGTCAGCACCCTCTCTCCTCCTCACAGCTCAAACCCAAGCGGGTGGGAGCCGGTTTTCCCAAAGGCTCCATCCCGTTCCAGACAGCCTCGCAGCTGATGGAGGAGATGCGGGCTGGGGGGCAGGCCCCGCGGCCTGAGCGGAGAGGCCAGCAGGAGCCCCCCAGCCCGCCATGTGGCCTCCAGGATGCGGACAGCAGTGAGCCTGTCCCCAGGCCCAATGAGGCCCCCGGAAGCAGTGCTCCTTGTGGGGGGCCCTCCCCTGAGAAGGCAAAGGGCCCCTCGGGGGGCAGTCCCGCGGCCAAGGCCCAGGCCAAGAAGCGGCAGCTCCTGGCCGCGGCGGCCCACAAGGACTCTCAGAACATCGCCCGCTTCCTCTGCCAGCGGGCCAAGAGCCCGGCTGGCCTGGCTGCAGCCCCAGGGCCCGAAGGTGCCAGCCCTTCCCGTGCTGGGGCGCGGGGACCCCTGGCTGAGGCCCCAGAGACACGGACACGGGAGGATGGAGCCCTGGGACGTTCGGCCGCTCACCCCCAGGCTGCGTGCACCAGGGAGGGGCCAAGGTGAGGGCCGGGCAGGCCCGGAGCCTCTGGAATCCCCTTTCCTCAGGGTCCTCTGTGACCCTCTCTGACAGTGGGCTCTGCGGGCTGCCCGGAGCCCTGACGCCTGCTCTCTCCTCGCCAGTGCCTGCCCACTGCGAGACCCGGGGCCGGAAGGCCAGCTCACCCTCCTTGAGGGGGCACCGAGGGGCAAGCGGCCCAGGCCCCAGCAGGTACTGCCAGGGAGGGGGCTGTCACCGGCCCCTCTGCTCTGTCTCTACGTCCAGGGGGGCTGGGCGGGAGGGGGGCAGCCGTGCTGTGGCCAGTCTTCCAGAGGAAGGGGAGGGGCCGGTGACGGAGCCAGGAGTGACCCTCCACCATGGCCCTGCCCAGGAGAACCCGGAGAGCCAGGCTCGGAAGAGGCCTCACCCCTCAGCCGGCGCCTCCGTTTTAGCCGAGGCCAACGACAACATCCTGGCCAGCGGTCAGAGCGCCGGGAGCCGCACGGCCCAGGGCGCCTCCCTGAAGGCGGCGGCGAACGCTGTGGTCCAGTGCCTGACCCCTTTCTACAAGGAGGGCAGGTTTGCCTCCAAGGTAGGCCAGCGGGTGGGCTCTGCCCTCCCCGGGCCTTGGGCACGGTGGGGGGAGGGCAGGGCAGGGGAGCCGTGGGCAGCAGGCAAGCCCGGCCCCTGCCCGTCCTCGGCTGCCTCGCCCTGTGGCCGTGGCCGTGGCCGTGGCCGCTCGGGGCAGAGCTGGCGTCTGAGCCCTCTGCTCCTCACTCCACCCGCAGGACCTGTTCAAAGCCTTCGCCCGCCACCTCTCCCATTCGCTGGCTCAGAAACCCTCTCCCGGGAGGAGCGGTGAGTGCCTGGGTGCCCGGCCAGGCAGCACTGGGGGCCCTGCAGGGAGGTGACCCTCACACTGCCACCCCCCTCCCCCCGACTCTCTAGTGAAGGAGGAGGCCCAGCACCTCATCAAGCAGTTCTTCCTGGGCCGCGCCCGCTGCGAGAGCGAAGCTGACTGGCACGGCCTGTGTGACCCACAGAGATGACCTACTGGTGCCCAGCGGGCCGGTGTCCTCTCCGCATCCCCTTTCCCCCTCCCCCCGACTCAGGAATGGGCAGGCGGACAGCCTGGGCCGCCAGGGGCATCTCTCCTCAGGGTCCTTCCCCTTCCAACCACACCTCGCTGTGGAGATGGCCCCGGTCACCCCCAAATCAGGGTCAGAGGCCAGAGGTCAGCCCACCTTCCTGAAACCCTCTCTCTCCTGGCCTCACGGAGCCCCGCCTTCGGAGGACATGGGGGGCGTGGCTGCTGCCAGGGGAACAGGAGGAAGAAACGGCCCCTCCACCTCTGTACCCGGGTTGTAAGCCGGGGAGCCCCCCTGTGCGCAGCGGGGGCTCCGGGGCAGAGCTGAGGGTGCGGGCAGCGGCCGGCCCCGCTCTCGCTGCTGCTCGGGAAGGCGAGGCTGGACCAGGCGCGCCCAGAGGAATAAAGGCCGTTGGGACACGTGCACGCACAGTTTTCTCTCGGGGCTTTATTTCCTCCGCAGCGGCTGTGCCACCCTGAGGGGCCAGGTGCCCTCTCCCCCAGACGGGCAACATTAGCTGCCCACGCCGGGTTCCCACAGCCCCTTGCGCCCCCAAGGAGGGGTCTTTCTAGTCTCCCCCCGGTGATGTCCCTGCAGCAGCCCGGCCTGTGACCTCCACGTGGGCCAGCGGGCTGTGCCGGGCAGGGTCCAGAACAGCCCAGCCACCAAGTCCAAACCAACGTGACCTGACAGCACCCAAGGGAGACCATCGGTGAGGCTGGATCCAGGGGGGCCCTTCCTCCTCTCCACCTCCAGCTCCTGGGGGAGGAGGCCGCTAGGCGGAGCTGTCGCTGCTGCTGAGCAGGAAGGCGATGGTGTGCTGCAGCTCCTGGGCCTGCGGGCACAGGCTGTGAGGACAGCTTCCCCACCCCCCGTTCCCCCCACCGCCTGCCCACACCACGCCCGGGCATGCCAGCCTCCCAGTGGTCAGAGGCCCTGCCACTCACCTGCGGCAGCTCGAACCAGATGGTCTGGGGGTTGTCCACGGCGCCGTAGTTGAGTTCCAGGCCCGGGGGCCTGTCCTCCTCCAGGGGGCTCAGCAGGTGCAGCCGCTGCAGGTCCCGCAGGGCGATGGAGCAGCACGGCGTCTGGGGCAGAGGGACAGGCGTGACCCTCTCGCGGGGGACAGTGCGGGTGGGGGAGGGGAACGGCCCTGGTGCCCAGCCCGCATGGGAGCAGGAGCCCGCCCACCTGGGAGCTGGGGTCCATGAGGACGAGGTGCTGGCGGTTCAGCCCCAGGAGGCTGGGTCTGGGCAGCGTCGGGTCGCTCGCTCGCAGCACCACGTAGACGGTGTAACCGAAGAGGGGCAGCTGGCTGGCCGCCTCTGGGGGTGCAGGGGTGAGACGGAAGATGGGGGTTCTGGCCCCTGGGGACCTGCCCTCCTTGGCCCCCGGGGGGTGAGGGACAGGGAAGGTGGAGCAGCTTTCTCGGCCCCTCCATCCTCCCCTCCTTGCTCCTGGGCCTCCACCTCCTGCCTCCTCCCCAGCTGACCCCGGCCCCACACGCACCGATGAAGCCGATCTGAGCCTCCTGGGCGCTGCGTCCCTGCAGCTGGCTCAGCTCCTGGTCCACCAGGCCCCGGAGGGTGGCCATGTTCACCTGGCCCTGCAGCGGCCTCGGCAGGTACGCCAGCAGGTCTTGCCTAGGACACAGTGGTGGGTCAAGCTGGCACACAGCCGGTGCCGAATGAGTGAACCAGTGGCTGCTGTGGGTGTCCCTGCCCATGAGCTGGGGAGGACAGGGCCTGCACTGGTCCAGCCCCATCTGGTTAGGGCCCGGGAGGGTACCAGTCAGGTGGCCTTGACCTGGGATTGTGGGCTGAGGCAAGGCCCTTGGGGTGGATGCTGTGGTGGACCTCAGCCCCAGGAGAGACGGGAGTGACAGGAGGCGGGGGGGTGGGGGTGGGGGGAGTACACACTCACTCTGAGGGGGGCGCCCCGTGGGGCCTGCTGACGTGCTGTAGGGCAGCCAGCCTGGCAACCTGGGCGTCTGCCTGGGCGCTGACCAACAGCTTCCCCTGCAGGTAGTCTCGCTGCACCTGAGGGCAGAGCACAGTGCGGGCAGCTGTGCCCTAAAGCCGCCCACAGTCCTGCCACCGTCCCTTCTCCTTGTGGGAGGTGGGGAGGCGCGGAGGGCCCGCCCGGGCACGGGGCTGTAGCGGGTGCTGACCTGGCTGTAGTGGGTGCCGATGTAGGTGGGGTTATCGAAGTGCAGGCGCGTCTCCCAGCCGAGCCGCCGGCTATGCAGGCTGGTGTCCGGGGCGGCCAGTGCGTTGTTGAGGTACTCCCCGGGCCCCAGGGGCCGCACCAGCTCCCCTGCAGGCGAGCTCGGGTTCACTGCCCTGCTGCCCAGGCCCCGCCCCCTGCTGCCCAGGCCCCGCCCCGCTGCCCAGGCCCCGCCCCTGCTGCCCAGGCCCGCCCCCTGCTGCTCAGGCCCCGCCCCCTGCTGCCCAGGCCCCGCCCCGCTGCCTAGGCCCCGCCCTGCTGCCCAGGCCCCGCCTGCCCCCGCCAGCCGCAGGGTGGGAACCGCCTCCCCCAGGGGCGCAGAGGGGGACCGGGCAGGGGCGCCCCCCTGAAGGCAGCCTGCCGTCCTCCCCGCCGCTCACCTTCCCCTTTGATGAGAAACAGGGCGAATTCCTGGACCTCCTCGGGTTCTGTGATGCCCATCTTCCCACACAGCTCCTCCAGCACCTCTGCTGCCACCTGGGCACGCGGACAGGGCGTGACGAGGGCGGGGGCCGGGGCCGGGGCCGGGGCGGGCCGGATGCCCGCAGCTCCCCCTCCTCCCCCAGCCCCTCCGGGCGCTCACGGTGAAGGTGCCGATGTTGGTCTTGTAGCCCACGCCTCCGGGCAGGTAGATCAGGAGCTGGCGGGCCATTTTCCCTTGCTGCGAGGCACGTGGCGGGTCAGTCCTCCCCGGACCAAGGCCCTGGCTCCCCCCAGCCCCCGAGGGAGACCCAGAACGCTGCCGCCTGCACCCCCGTACCAGGAACGCCTTCATTTCCCCGGGGGGCAGCAGCCGCCGGCGCCCCCCGAATTTGACCGTGCGCTGGAGGTGCTCCTGGCAGGTGCGGGCCAGCTCTGCAGAGGACCGGGCTGTGGTCAGCAGCCTCTTCCGACCCCTCCCCACGCTGCCCAGCCCCAGCCCGGAGCCCCTCCCGTGGGCACCTTGGCTCCTGCCCGCGTCCTGCAGAAACTGGGTCACGTAGGGCATCAGCGTGGTGGACGGGGGCAGGAAGCCGGTGAGGAGGCTGAGGAGGCTCCAGCCTCGAGCACAGAACTCCCTGTGGGCACAGAGCCTGGGCTCGGCCTGTCGGGCCACACAGCGGGCTGCCCGCCGCCCACCCTGCACCCAACACTCACGGCCGGGGGTGTCCCGTGACCTGCTTGACGGCCTGGCAGTAAATCTCATCCCTGAGGTTCTCCTTCTCCCGGCACAGCTACGGCACAGAGAGGGCAGGTGGGCAGGGAGGGGTAGCCAGGGCCGGGCGGAGCGCAATGGAGGGGGGGGGGGTGGCGTGGGGGCGGATGGCTAGAGGCTGGGGGTCAAGTGGGGGTGTCAGCCCAGTCAGGGGTCATCTCTGTCATCTCACTGGGTTTAATGGTGTCTGCACTACTGTCACTCCAGTCACTGTCTCCGCCGGCTTCCGGCGTGCCCGGCCCGCCCTCCGCCTTCTCTGTCCCTCTTATTTGCCTCGTTGGCCTCTAAGGGCCGCAGTGCGCTCCTCCCGGATGCTCTCCCGGCTCCCCTCTGCTGGTGACTGTGCCTGCCTCCTGCTCACACTTCTCCCTGGAACCCGGCCCTCCCGGGGGAAGTCTGGGCCTTCAGACCTCGCCTGCCCTTCAGATTCCTGCAGCAGCTCAGGCCCGCCCCTCCCCGGCTTCCTGATCAAACGGCCAGAGCCTGCGGCCTCCCGGGCGCCTCGCACACCCCACATGCATTCCTGGAACCCGTGCTCGGAGCCCCGCTCCCTGCTGCCACCTCTCAGCCTCCGCTGGCACCGCCTCTCAACTGGCATCACCGAAATCACCTCCTTTGCCCTTAGGCCCCCAGAAGAGCAAGCCACAGCTGGAGCGACCCAGCAAACACAAGCTACATCCCAGTGCCGTTCTCTCTCTCTCCCTCCCCCCCCTCCCTCTCTCTCTCTCTCTCTCTCTCTCTCTCTCCCCCAGCAAACACAAGCTACATCCCAGTGCCGTTCTCTCCCTCTCTCTCTCTCTCTCTCTCTCTCTCCCTCTCTCTCTCTCTCTCTCTCAAAATCCAAGTCCTGACAATGGCCTGCAAGGCCTGCCGTGACCTGGACCCACTGTCCGTCCCGGGGCTGCATCCTCCACTCGCCCCTCGCCCACTGGCTGCAGCCAGGCTGGCCTTGCTGGTGCTGAGCTCACCCTCCCACCAGGATGTCACCCGGCCCCTCCCTCTGCCCAATGAGTTGCCCCGGTGCCCACAGGCCTCCCTCCCTCTGCCCATGTGCCAGCCTCTGCACTGGCTCAGCCCCTCCCCTGCCCTCCCCGCGGCACTTAGCCCCTGACACATTGCACCTGCCCCTCCTCCTGGGTCCTCGGCTCTGCCATCCCCCAGCATACAGTAGGTGCTCAGTAAACACGGGGGATGATTTGAATGGACAGTGACCGAGGGTGTCTCCCCAGGTCCCAGCGCACGCAGCCCTCGCTTACCTTCAGCAGCTCATAGAGCAGCTCGATCTCGTCCTTGCCCCGGGGCTTCGGCTGGTCCCCCATAAACTGCATCAGGACTGCAGGCGGGATGAGAAGCGTGGGAGCCGGGCGGGGCCTGGCTGGCCCTGGCCCACGCGTCCCCACACAGGGCTTCCCCCGCCATCCGATGCCTCGCTCTCACAATGTGTGTGAGCCAGGAAAGGTGGCAGACGCAGCTTTCCCGATGGGGAAACAAGCTCAGAAATTCTGTGGGTGCCCACAGCCCCCCACGGTGCACCGCCACGGCCTTCCAGCCCAGAACCTACACAACCCACAGCCTCTTGGGCAGGAGTGGAAGTGGGTGGAGGCCGCCGGGGTACAGGAATCGCCCCTGAGCTACCCTGCAGTGGCAAGCTCATAGGAGAAGGCACCACGGACATGGGGCCCAGGCCGGCCACTCACCCTGGAAGCTGTCCACAGCCCGCCTGTTCAAGTCCTCGTCACTGAGGCTGATGAGCGACTCCCGGATGGGGGCCTGCAGGCAGAGAGGTGGGGCCATGGGTCTGGGGTCTCTGAGGCCCAGGGGGCAGGTCCACTGGCCCGACTCCCAGGCGGCCCCCTACCTTGGAGTACTGCACCAGGCTGGCCATGGCTTTCTGGGCGTCTCCACCTGCCTGGGCCAGCCTGAGGGGCAGAGAGAGCACAGCCCTGCTTGCTCGGCCCGTCCGCCCGTCCCAGGCTGTGGCCTGGCGGCCCTGAGCCCCCTTCACAGAAGCGGGGGACAGGCAGGTAGGTGGCTCAGGGCACTCACAGGGTCTGGGGCTTCCGGAAGTATTTCAAGGCAAAGTCCTGCATGGTATAGCTGTGGGAGACACCGGACAGCGAGGCCGAGACCCCGGAGAGGGGCAGGCTGCTGGCCTCCAAGTTGTCACTGAGTGCCTGGCTCTGGCGTCTGGCGGGGACCTGGGAGCACAGGAGACCTGGTGCCACCCCGGACCTGGCCTCTCTGGAGACCCCTCCCCAGCCCCGCCCGGCCCCGCCCCACCCGGAGGAGCAGGAGAGCAGCTGCAGTGAGCACACCAGAGTCAGGAAGAGTCAAGAGCTTTTTATTGAGCATCTTCTAGGGCAGCACCGGGGACCCGTGGCGGGGGGGGGGCAGGGCGCTCAGTCCAGCCGGCCCGCAGGGAGCTCCCAGTCCCGCTGCAGAGAGGAGGAGGCATTGGGAAGGGAGGGCAGGGCGATCCTCACGGCTCTGGGGCCATCGAGCCCTCAGCGTCTACTCCCTCACCTCCAGCGCCCTCTCCCGCTGCGCCGGGCTCGGCTCTCTGCGCAGCAGCGAGAAGGAGAAGTCCGGGGCAGCCGCCGGCTGCACCATGTCCACGGGAAACAGCCCGGAGCGGCCCCCGGCAGAGCCGAACTGCCAGCCTGGAAGGCACGCAGGGACAGCGCCTTACCCACCTGCCCCTCTGTCCTCAGGGTCGTCTCTCACCCCCCTCCCCGGGCCACCCTCCCTCGTCAGCGCCCTGCTTGCCCCTGCAGAGACCTGGCTCCAGATCCATGGCCGGCAGCAGCTTGATGAGGTCCCCGCGGTGGAAGCTGAGGAGGCTGCGGTCATCGGTGATATAGCTTCGCAAGGCGACCACGTAGCCGGAGTCCTGCCGGCAGGGGGGGCGCGGGTGAGCGGCCAGCCTGCCTGTGACCCCTGACCTGCCGCCCTACCTGCTCGCCCTCCATTGGCCCATTCCCACCTCAGCACCCCAGAGTCTCAGGGACCCACCCCCACCCAGGAAGCTGGGGGGAGCTTGGCTCACAGCCCGAGACCAGCCAACCCAGACGGCCCGCGGAGCGCGGAGGCCCGCCGGCCCTCTCCGCGCACTTGCCTTCTTGAGCTCACTCAGGAAGAGCTCGATCATGGCCCGGATGGCACCTGCCCGGGCCGAGCGCAGCACCAACTGCTCGGCCTTCAGCGTCAGCTCCAGCGTGGAGCCGCCCCGGCACTCCACGCCCAGCACCTCGGCGAAGCTGTGCACAGGGTGCGGGCATGAGCTGGGGGCCCTCTTGTCACCCCAGCCCCGCCGCTCCCAGCCCCGCCCCCACCAGCCCAGCCCCTTCACAGCCCAGCCCCATGTCAACCCCGCCCCCTTCCAGCCCCACCCCCTTCCAGCCCCGCCCACCAGCCCCCGCCCATGCCAGCCCCGCCCCCGCCAGTCCCGCCCCGCCAGCTCCGCCCCCGCCAGCCCCGCCCCCGCCAGCCCCGCCCCTTCCCAGCCCCGCCCCCTGCCAGCCCAGCCCCCTGCCAGCCCCGCCCCCGCCAGCCCAGCCCCACCTGTAGGAGCAGAGAGTCTTCAGCTGGTGGAGGCAGATGCCCGGGCCGCGGGCCCACTTGAGCAGCCTCAGCCCCCGGTGGGACACCCCCAGCAGCTGCACGTTGCTGCCACTGTCGCCCTGCCCAGAAAGGGGGTCACAGACAGGCTGCTGAGTCCCCCCCACATCCACGATGCCGTTATGCTTCCTCTGGGGCCCACCCCACCCCATCCCACCCCCGATTCCCATCCCTGCAGCAGAAGCCCAGGCCGTGCCCCGGGCCCGGAGCGGGTGCTGCCGCCGGCCCTCCCGCTCACTCACGGAGACGGGGAAGATGCGGGAGAAGTAGTTGGCCCAGTTGTCCCTGGCGGCCACCACGATGCGCTTCTTGACATTGTCCTCGGCGGCGCCCAGCGAGTCCAGGCCCACCTCCAGGTCGCCTGCGGGCAGAGGCGGCCCCGCCTGTCCTGAGGCTCCCGCAGAGCGAACCCCAGGCCTGCTCTCCCTCCCAGCACCCCGCTCCCTGCCTCCTGGCTCCCGGACCTACCCAGCAGGTCTTTCATTCTGCACCGCTCGTCCTGGGAGATCCGGGGGCAGGACTCGGAAAAGGTGTCCCTCAGGATCTGGGGCAGAGCCGGCGGTCACCACCAGGTGCCGAGGCCAGTGCCCCCCACGAAAGCATCACACCCCCCGGAGACGGGGAGCCCAGGGGCAGAGACGGGGCAGGAGAAACATGGGGCTTCAAGCCCAGGGCTCGACCACCCAGAGCCCCGCCTGCCCCCCAGCGCCGGCCGCTCCTTGGCCAGCGGGAGTCGCCTCCCTGGAGCAGCTCCCTGGGGGAGGCTATGGAGACCGGGGACAGCATGGCACTGGGAGCACCCAGAGCGGCCAAGGAACCACACCAGTGAGCGCCTCCTGTGTGCGGGAGCCTGCTGCACACTGTCCACTCCCCTTAATCCTCACGGGTCCCCCCTCACAGCGGGGTGAGGCTTACTGCCCCACAGGTGCGGGCTGTTACCCTGCCCTCCCACGGGGAGGGGTGGGCACCGCCCAGGGGTGGGTGTGCTCTCACCTGCTCACAGAGGAGCCGCAGGTTGTAAGGGTGGCTGAAGCTCTCGCGGGGGTAGAAGACCTGGAGGAGGGCACAGAGCGAGGGTGGCATGGCGTCCCCGCAGCCCCTTCACGCCCCCCCCCCGCCCCTGCCTTCCAGGACAGACAGAAAACCCCCTCCCCGAGGTGGCCGTGGGCGGCAGCTCCGGTGTTTGTGCAGGAGAAGCAGATACTGGGGTTCCCAGCGGGTCCCGCACAGCCTGCCCGCCTCCCAGCCCTCATGCCCACCTCCTTGCGCAGGAACAGCTTCCAGGGCGCACTGGTGTAGGAGAAGCACACGCTGCCGGAGGGCACGAGGAGCTGGGTGCTGACCCCCTGGTCTCCCATGGCCCCCAGGGAGCCTGGCGGAGGAGGTGCGGGAGCGCCGGTGAGGAGCGGCCAGAGCCGGAATGACGGGCTGGGGAAGGGAAGACCCTCGGCCCAGGCCCCGCCCTCGGCCCCACCCCTCGGCCCCGCCCAGCCCCTGGCCCCGCCTCATGGCCACACCCCCGTCGCATGGCCCCGCCCCCAGCCCCAGCCCCTGCCTCAGACTTTCCCCGTCCTGGACCTCAGCAGGGCCATTAACTTCTGACAGAGCTGCCAGCTCTGCGTGGAGGACAACACCCTGTGTGTGACCGCCCCTCGGGGCCAGTCGGGTCCTAGGGGTGCCGGGCCCTGCCCTGGGCGGGAACGTGGAAGCTGGGGCTCCAAAGTCCAGAAGCCAGAGCAGCTGACCTCAGCCAGCCAGGCGCGCCCAGAAGCCGCAGGGCACCCGGCCCCGTCACCCCTCCCGCCAAGGAGGCCCACCGCACGGGGTCCGGGCTCCTTACCGCGGGGCTCGGCCGAAGGGGTCCCCGGGGCCCCCGGTGGAGGCAGAGGGGGCACTGGTGGGGGTGCGGGTGCCTGGGCAGTGGGGGGGTTATGGCCAAACAGCTCCTGGAGGGGGCCCTGCTTCTCCCGGATGGTGCTGGAGGTCTTCATCCGGGGAGTGGCCTTGGGCCGGGCGGCCACAGCGGGCGGAGGGCCCTTCTCGGGGCTGGGGGACAGCGGCTGCAGGGGCACAGGGGGCGCTCACCACACAAGCTGGGTCTGGGGAGAAGGCCACGTGGGCCCCTGAGAGCCTCGGACCCCTGAGCAGAGCAGCCGCCCCCCGATGGGATGGGACGGGCCTCACCTGGGGGGGCAGCTGGTCACTGCTGATCCCCAGCTTAGCCAGAGCCTCGTCCTTGGGGTTGTTTTTCTTCAGGAAACTTTGGGGGGGCTTCCTGAGGGAAGGGAAAGGTCAGGAGTCCGCAGGCCTCTCCCCGGGAGGGGCAGCGCCGGCCGGCGGCCCGCCCACCTGGCTGGCTGCACGGGCACGGGCACGGGGCCCGGGCGGCTCTGGTACATGCGGATGATGTTACGGATCTCCCTGCTGGGCTGCCTCGGGGGCTCCGAGCCGGGCACCGCAGCACCCTCCGGCTCCGGCCCCGGCTCCCGGGCCGGCTTCGCCTCCCGGGCCGGCTCTGCCTCCGCCTTCCGGACGGCTTTGGCCCCACCCGGTGCTGGTGCCGGTGGCTTCTTCACTACCCGGGCAGGAGGCGGCGATGGCGCTGCCGAGGAGGAAACACGTGAGACCCAGTGCAAAACCGCAGAGCCAGGCGACCCCGCCCCCTGATCCTCCACCCCGTCTCCCTGCCACCTGCACGGGGCTCCTCCTCTTCCGGCTCCTCCCCGCGGGGGATCTGCACCTTGGCCGGAGGCTTCGCCACCTTCACCTTGATCTGCTGCTGCCCTGTAAGTGCCGATGGCCGTCACCCTCCACCCGGACGCCCATCCATGCCCTGGACAGGCCACACGGACTCCGCTGGCCCCTGGCCGGGCTGGGGCGGGGCTGCCACCCCCAGGCCCTCACCCATCTTCTGGAAATAGTCCCGCTTCTGCTGGAAGCTCCTGCGCCTCTCCTCCTCGTCCTGCGGGGTCTCCTGGGGGGTCTCCTGCGGGGTCTCCTGGGGGGTCAGGAAGGGGCAGTGAGGGAACAGCCCTGCCAGCCAAGTTGTCCCTCTCAGGGTGAACCCCTCAAATCCCTGGGACTGGGGCCCGACGGCATCTTTTCTGGATCTTCCTGCTCCCCTGCCCGTACAGCCCTGAGACCCCGGAGCCCGCTGCCCCTCTGGTCTCCACCCTTCCCTCACTCCCCCAGGCAGACACCCACCGGCTCCGGCTCCGGCTCCGGCTCCGGCTCCGGCTCTCTCCGGGCGGCCGGGGGCTGCTTGGGCTTCGGGGCCACGGCTGAGGTTGCCGGGGCCTCGCGCTGGCGCTGGCGAGTCTGCTGCTCCAGGGACAGGGACATGGCCTGGGCGGTCATCTGCTGGGCCTGAGGGGAGGATGGACCAGGTGAGAGCTGGCCGGCCCTGCCCACGGGCCTCCCCGCCCGGCAGCCGGGGGCCCCGCCCGCCCTCACCAGGAGCAGCGCCTGCTGGTTGATGAAGCTCTGCTGCTGGGCTGCCAGCTGCCTGGCGTCCACGCTGGGGAGCAGCGGCTGTGGCTGCGGCTGCGGTGGCACCATCATGGCTGCAGGGTGGCAGGTGGGCGGGGCAGGTGAGCACCGGGGCCAAGCTGGAAGCCCTCTGCCCACGGTGCCCTCTGGGCCTCTGGCAGGACCCTCCCTCCTCCAGACCCGGTGCCCCAGCCCAGCCTTACCTGGCATGGCAGGGACTGTGCCCACGGCCGGCATCATGGGCATGGGAGCAGGCATCATAGCTGGCTGGTATCCAGGCATCTGCATCATCCCTGGGTACACTGAGGGGACGGGCCCTCCCAGGTTGGTCCCTAGCTGGGCCCCTGGACCCCCTCCCTCCAGCTCCAGGCCAAGAGTTCAGGCCCAGGGTGCCGGCTGGAGCTCTCACCCCAGTTCCAGGGTCCTAGGCCCGTGGTCGGCAAACTCATCGGCCCACAGAGCCAAATGTCAACAGGACAACCACTGACATTTCTTTGGAGAGCCACCTTTTTTACATTTAAACTTCTTCTAACGCCACTTCTTCAACACAGACTCGCCCAGGCCGTGGTGTTTTGTGGAAGAGCCACACTCAAGGGGCCAAAGAGCCACCTGTGGCTCTCGAGCCGCGGTTGGCCATGCTGGCCTGGGCTGCTCCACCCCCTACTCACCCATAGGGTAGCTTCCTTGCTGCATGGGCCCGATGCCGCCCCCTCCCTTCAGGCGGCTGCTCAGGGCCCTGGCTTGCTCCAGATCCTGAAGGGACAAAGGTCACAGGTCACAGGGTCAGAGCTGGAGCCCTGGGAGAGATGGGAGGGGCGGCAGAGGAGCGGTGGGGCAGGGGCAGGGGCGGGGGCGGGGGCAGGGTGGAGGTTGTGTGCAGGACACTCACGCTGAGGCCCGGGGAGAGGACTGGCTCGAAGATGTGGTCCAGGTAGCTGTCCAGGCTCCCCGGGGCCCGGGACCCACCTGTGGAGCCGGAGGGGCGCAGGGTCACCGCCTGGGGCATGGGCTCCCTCCACCCCCATCCCAGCTCTGCCAACCTCAGTGTGCCCACCCCAGCCTCACCTGTGAGGCCCCTGCTGGGCAGCGCCGGGGCTGGACCTGGAGGGGGGCGTGCGGACAGGGAGGGGGCCTGGACGTCAGGGGCGGGAGGGATGTCCTCGGCTCTGCGGGAGAGAGTGGGCACCTGGCTGCGGGCAGTGCCAGGCGGAGGCGAGGTATAGAAGCTGCTGGGGGGTGTCCCAGTGGAGGGGGAGGAGGCTTGTGGGGGTCAGAGGTCAGGGGAGTGGGTCTGGCCGCCCCTGTAAGCACCAGGGTGACGCAGTGGGGTCAGGGTAGGGATGGGAGCAGGCCGGGGACAGGTGCTGGGGCAGCACCTACAAGCTCCAGGGGGCAATGGGGTAGCTGTGGGGGTCAGCAGGGTCCCCGGGGTCCTCAGTCTGGCCGATCAGGTCCAGCACGAAGTCGCAGCCAGCCAAGTCCTGCCAGGAGTCCCCGGAGTGCAGTGACACGGACCAGCCACGGGGGGGCCCCTCCAGGCCTCTGGGTGGGCAGAGGTGTGCATTAGGAGTGCGGTCAGCCGGGCAGGGGACGTCCCGGAAGGGCCAGGGCCTGAGGGGGCCACGGTGAGGGGCGGAGGGGACAGGACCTGGGGGAAGACTCCGGTTTGCGCACAGGTTGCACCTCACAACCCTCCCACTTGTCGGCTCTGACGCACAGGTTCCTTCATTCACCTATTCGATTGGAACCTTTCCCTATGCGCTCTGGATCCTGTCCGCTCCCCCCGCCGCCCCGCCCATGGGTGCAGGCTGTGCCCTGGGCCGGGGCAGCTGCAGGGGGTGCTTGGTGGCAGAGGGGCTGGGAGGATGGGCTCCTGAGGAGGACGGGACACGCTCGGTGTTGGCTGCACCCTCCCAGCCCAGCCCCCCGCACCTGCTCTGCAGAATCCACCCCGCGAGCTGCTCCCCCGTCGTCCAGGACTCCACCTCTGCCGAGAGGCACTCGTCTGCAGGACGAGGGGTGGGACCGGGAGTGAGATACGGGGCGGCGGGGAGGGGGGAGGCTGTCCCCCAGGGGGTCCGAAAGCAGGCAGGAGGGAGAGCAGGGTCTCGGGGCGGCAGGGAGGGGTCCGGGGCGTGGAGGGGCAGGCTGGCTCCCCTGCGGGCGCATCACCGTTGAGCGTGAAGACGTCCAGCACCATGCGGCCTCGGCGCCGTCCGGCCGTCCACTCGAGCTGAGTGGGGGGGTGGGCGCGGGTGGTCTCAGGGGCCAGCCGGGCCTGCTCCAGGGCCACCAGCAGCTTGTGCTGGCACAGCGCTGCCATGCCGCTGGGGGCGTGGTCCGACACAAATCTGTGGGGACAGGACAAGGCGGGGGGTGGGGCGGCCGCTGACCTCCCACCAGCCTCCACCTGTGCCCCCTCTCCAGCCTCTACCTAACCCTCCCCCGGCCTCCACCTGTGCCCCCCCACCGGCCTCCACTTGTGCCCCCAGCCTCCACTGACCCCCCCAGCCTCCACCTGACCCCCAGCCTCCACCTGACCCCCAGCCTCCACCTGACCCCCAGCCTCCACCTGACCCCCAGCCTCCACCTGACCCCCAGCCTCCACCTGACTCCCCCAGCCTCCACCTGACCCCCAGCCTCCACCTGACCTCCCCCAGCCTCCACCTGACCCCCCAGCCTCCACCTGACCCCCCAGCCTCCACCTGACCCCCCAAGCCTCCACCTGACCCCTGCCCCAGCCTCCACCTGACCCCCAGCCTCCATCTGACCCCCCCAGCCTCCATCTGACCCCTGCCCCAGCCTCCACCTGACCCCTGGTTCTGGGCCTCTTACTTGAGCAGCGGCTTCTGCAGGGAGGGCGTCGGGGGGAAGGCGCTGAGCAGGACGGCCATGAGGGCCCAGCCGCGCAGGCTCTGCTGCTCGCTGGGGCTGTGCCAGAGCTGGGCCACGAGCTGGCTGAAGAGCTCGTCCCGCAGGCCCGGCCGGCGCTGGCCCTGCCGCACCAGGTAGGCGCCCATGGTCTGCTCCTGCCAGGCCGGCAGGGACTCATCCCGCAGGAGCCGCAACATCTGCAGGGCCAGGCGAGGGCGGGGTGTGGGCTCCGGGGTCCCAGCCCGCAGGGGGCGCGGGCTGCCCTGTCCCCCCCCGCCCCCGGGTGTCACTCACCACCTTGTTGATGTCCAGGGCACGCTGAGGGTTCTCCCCATCCAGCCGGGTCAGGGGCTTGTCCAGCAGCTGCCCGGGCGTGGGCAGAGATGGCTCCTGCAAGGAAGGAGGGCAACCCAGAGGCTGAGCAGCTGGCCCCGCTGGCCTGCTGGAGACAGGACAGACTGGCATGGAAGGCCATCTTTAAAGTGCAGCTCAGCCTGGCTAACGCGGTTGAGCGTCGACCTAGGAACCAGGAGGTCACGGTTTGATTCCGGGTCAGGGCGCAGGCCCAGGTTGTGGGCTCGATCGCCAGGGTGGGCGTGCAGGAGGCAGCCGGTCCACGATTCCCTCTCATCACCGATGCTTCTCTCACTCCCTCTCCCTTCCTCTCTGACATCAATACAAACATATTTAAAAAGAGGCTTAATTGCTCGTTCTGATGAGAATATTGATGTCCACGCACACGGGAAACTCAGAAGACACAGAAAAAGAGAAAGTAAAACCACCCTGGGGTTCCACCGCCAGGCACGGCCGGTTGGCGTCTTGGCCTCCCTTTCTCGTCCTGCTTCCTAGTTCTGGTGCAAATACAGCCATCGCCGCCCCCTGCTGCGGTTTCTGCAAACCGAGGCCTTATTCTGTGTGCGGCTCTGGAGCACACACTGCAGCCGGACCGTGGCCTGGCCGTGACACACGCTTTAACACGCGCCGGCAGCCGGGCACAGGTGGACCAGGTGTGGCTTCAGAGGGAACAACACGGGCCAGTGAGTCACCGCGGCTCAGTGAGTGTTTTCCGGGGAAGACAGCTGTGTCCACAGCCCAGGCGGGGAGGGAGGGGCTGGGTGGGGACAGGGAGGGACAGCCAGCCGCTGCCTGGCGGGGGCTTACATCCGGGGCCTGTGGGACCCGCCGGGGAGGGCTGCGGCCGGGGGCCCACCTGGAAGCCGGTGGCGATGAAGCTGGAGAAGGGGAAGCGGTCGATGTCCGGCGGCAGTGTCAGGCTGGGCCTTGCGGGAACCTCGGGGGGCTTGGCCTCGGTGATGCTCTGGGCCAGCGTGTGCTGGCGGCCTGGGGACCGACGGCGCCGGGAGGTGCGGGGTCAGGCGCCGGCTCTGGCCCTGCCGCCAGCCCTCACCATCACCCTGGCCCCCGGGCCCCGTGCAGAGGGAGCCGGACGGACTGGGGCCGCAGAGGGAGGGGCCACAGGGACAGACCCTCACAGAACGAGGGGCTAGGGGGGGTCACAGGCAGAGGGACGCCCATCAGGCAGGACTCACCTTCCTCCTTCCTCAGCAGGACGGCCAGCTCGGCCGGGATTTCCAGGCGCGCCAGCTCCTGCCGGAGGGCAGGGCCCGGCGTGAGGAAGGGGCCCGGGCCCCGGTGCCTCCCCCAGGCCCATGGCTTCCCCTCCCGAGACCCTGGGCGCACACAGGTGCCCCTGAGGGACAGCACCCTCCCAGCCCATACGCCCCCTCCGCCGCGCCCGCTTCACCGGGTCCATAACCGGCCACACCCTCAGCTCCCAGGCCACCTACCATGCTTGGCCCGCTCCCGGAGGACCCGCCGCCGTGCCAGCCACACCAGTGCCCGAGCTGCCAGGGGAGACACAGGAGGAGCTGATGTCCCCAGAGGGCCCTCCCCAGCCAGGCAGTTCGGCGGCCCCGCCGCCTGCCCCCTTGGGGGCCCCAACTCAGACAGAGGAGCAAGCACAGACCCGGAGGGGCCAGCTGCCTGCGCCCAGCTCCCCGGAGCCCTCACCCGCCTGAGTGGGCGTCCCTGCCCGGCTGTCAGGGCAGAGGAGCAGGTGGGAGGGCAGGAAGACAGGAAGGAATGGTCTCGGGGGCAAAGTCCAGCCGGGGAGCGGCCGGGAGGGGGCAGTGTCTGGGCACTGACCTTTGAGCTGCTTTATGGCCTCAACTAGGAGTCATCAGACGAGAGAGGGGAGCAGGTGGGTCCCAGGAGGGTCCGAGGGGATGGGGAGACACGTCGGGCAGGGAGGGGCCGCGGGCCGGGGGCAGGGATGGAGGAAGGCAAATGGCCAGGCAGACAGAGGTGGGAAGAGCTCAGCCGGCAATGCCCTGAGGCCTTGACCTTGTGAGGCTGGGCTCGGAGGGTGGGCACCGATGCCTGGCTTCTGCCTGAGCTGCCAGGGCCCTGGCCGCCTCACCTGCAGCCTCCGCCTCCTCCGGAGCAGGGGCCGGGCCGCCAGCAGCACCGCGTTCAGCTGTCCCAGGGCCGCCCGGCGCAGGAGGTACCGCTTTCTGGGAGCGGGAAGGGGGTGGGGAGCCCAAGCTTACACCGGTTCCTGGACCCTCCCCGCCAAGACAAGCTGTAAGAACTGACCCGAGGTGCCTGGCCGTGTGGCTCAGTGGCTGAGCATCGACCCATAAACCAGGAGGTCACGGATCGATTCCCAGTCAGGGCACATGCTCGGGCTGGGGGCTCGATCCCCAGTGTGGGGCGTGCAGGAGGCAGCCGATCAATGATTCTCTCTCTCCCCCCTCTCCCTTCCTCTCTGAAATCAATAAAAAAATATATATATTTAAAAAAAAAAATTCCCCCAACTCAACAACAAAAAGACAAATAACCCAATTAAAAAGCAGACAGAGGACTTAAATTTGTCCAAAGAAAACACACCGATGGCCCACAAGCACATGAAAGGAGCTCACACCATTAGTCTCAGGGAAATGCAAACCACACCGCAGTCTCCTGTCCCCACCCAGGGAGGCCCGCTCACACCCCGGGGCAGGCTGTCATTGTTTTAAAAAGAAAAAGGAAAATGAGTATTGTCAAGTAGGGAAATGAGAACCCTCTTATACCGCTGGTGGAAAGATAAAATGCGGCAGCCACTTTGCAGAACAGTTTGGCGGCTCCTCAAAAAGCTAATCATAGCCTAACCGGTTTGGCTCAATGGATAGAGCGTTGGCCTGCAGACTGAAGGGTCCCAGGTTCGATTCCGGTCAAGGGCATGTACCTTGGTTGCGAGCACATCCCCAGTAGGGGGTGTGCAGGAGGCATCTGGTCGATGTTTCTCTCTCATCAACGTTTCTAGCTCTCTATCCCTCTCCCTTCCTCTCTGTAAAAAATCAATAAAATATATTTAAAAAAAAAAAAGACTGCAGGCCGGGTAGATAGATCCTGAGTGTCCCGTGACTGGGGTCTTCAAGCAGAGACGACGGCTAAGGGCAGGGATGCTGTAAGGAGAGCCCAGTGCTGACGGGACGGGGCACTGTGCTGGCCTTGAGACCTTACGTGTCCCCACCCTGCCCCACCACCTTGAAAAGCCCCAGGGCCCCACCCCTGCAGACCTGGCCTGGAGCCCCCGCACGCGAGCCTGCAGCCGGGGCAGGAGGCGGAGGCGCTGGCGGGAGATGCAGGCCCGCAGCCCACGGTGCAGGATGAGCAGGGCCTGGGCTCGCCGCTGGGCCCGGTGCTGCTCCAGCTGCAGCCAGCCCGGCTCCTGCAGCAGGACCTGGGCCAGAGCGGGTGCTGGGGCAGGCCAGGCGGGGGTGCCTCCTCCCTCCAGCCAGAGGTCTCTCCCGAGCTGCCCAGGGCACCTGCCAGCCAGCCCAGCCCATCTCCCGGCTGCCCAGAAGGACCCCCAAACCCTGGGCGTGTCCCCAAACCCTCCTCTCCCTTCCTAGCCAGGCTGCCCCTGGCACACCCCCACCTGGGTGGTTCCGAGGTGACAGAGGGGCGACTCAGCCCCCAGCACCTGGCTCAGGATGGCGCCACACCTCTCCTGGTCGGAGGGCTCTCCCTGCTCCCCGGTCCCCAGGGTCCGGAACCTGCCGGGAGGACAGGGCCAAGGTCGGAGCAGGCGCAGCCACAGTGGTTGGACACCCGAGCCTCATGGTGTCCATTCGGCCACTCAGACACTCGACGAGGATTTGGAAAGCACCTACTACGTGCTGGGCGCCTGGGAGGGGGCTGCTGAATGGAGGAGGGGCAGATGAGCTCCCGCAGGCGCGGAGGGAGGACGGACAGTGAGGAGGGAAAGGAGAGAGCGATGGCGGGAGAGGAGGAGAGAGAAGAGTGACAGGAGGAAGGGCCGGATGCCAGGCCAGAGGACCCTGGGAACGCGGTGCACCGCCACGGGGAGGGAACCCACGTGGACCAGTCACCGTGGGGAGCCTTCCTGTGTGCCCAGGCCCTGAAGGGCACGGGCCCCCGGCCGCCCCCACCCTGGAGCCCTACCTGGCCAGGAAGGCCTGGAAGGGCAGGCGCACAGGGAAGTGGGCGCTGCGGGCGCCAACGGCCTCCAGGACGCCCGCCTGGCGCAGCTGCTCGGCCACGTGTCCCACATCAAAGAGGCCTGGGAGCTGAGGAGGAGTCAGGGGCTTACATTTGGGGGGGAGGGGGAATGTAGGGCGGGGCCCGTTGAGGGGAGGGGTGAGAAGGGCAGGGCAGGGGCAGCAGGGAGGGCTCTGGGCTGGGCCAGGAGCGGAGGGGGGAGCTCACCTTCCCGGGGTTGGGGGTGAGGCACTGGATGAAGTAGATGCGGCTCCTGAGGGGTGAGGGGGGGGCCCTGAGGTACAGATCAGGCTCCTATCCACCGCCCCGCCGTTGGTTCTGGGGCGCTGCTCTCACCTGCCCAGCCTGGCTAGGAGGTCCCCCAGGGACTGCTGGAACCGCGAGGCCAGGGTGGGCTTGCCTTGCCCTCCCTCGCCCTGGGGCTCTGCTTCCTGGAACAGGCTGCCCACCAGCTGTGGGGAGAGAGGAGGGTAGTTCACAGCCCAGCCCGCCCCCGCCTGGGGGAGCTAGGGTGGACCAGCCCACAGCACCCAGACCCTGGCAAGCTCAGGCCACGGCCCACGGTGCCAGGGCCTGGAGGGCAAGCCCCTTGAGCAAGCGTGTCCATGCAAGAAGGGCGGGGGGGGGGGCGGGCAGAGTGCGGAGAGGCAGGGCCGGAGGGCGGCAGGGCACCTGGAGCTGGCTCTGGGCAAGCATTTCTGCCACGGCAGGGTCAAGGTGATCCCGGTTTCTGTTTAAAAATTTGTGAACCTGCAAACGACAAGGCGGGGAAGCGGGGGAAGCCAAGGGTGTGGAGGCCGCCCCTTTGCCAAACGTTCTGCCTCTCCCCTCGGCGTTAAAGGCCGCCTTTGTCTCGTTGGCTGGCTGTGCCGGGAACCCTGGAAACCCACATGCAAAGCAATAAACTGGGCTCTTATCGGACACCAGGCACAAAAGTTAACTCCAAGCGCACAGATCAAAGACGTCGGCGGGAGAGCGGGGACTGCAAACGCGAAGAAGAAAACAGGGAGAAAGCGTCATGACATTGGACTTGGCAACGATTTCCTGAACACAACACTGAGGGCACAGACAGCAAAAGAAAAAAGTAGTTCAATTCGATGTCAGCACAACTACAAACGTCTGTGTGTCAAAACCCACTAGTCAGGGAGCAGAGACCACCCACAGGATGGGAGGAAATACTGCAGAGCAGATAAGGGATGGACTACCCAGAGCTCCTACAACCAACTCAACCGTTCAAAAACAGGCAAAGGCCAGCCGAACCCGGTTTGGCTCAGTGGTAGAGCATCGGTCTGCGGACTGAAGGGTCCCAGGTTCGATTCCGGTCAGGGGCATGCACCTTGGTTGCGGGCACATCCCCGGTAGGGGGTGTGCAAGAGGCAGCTGATCGATGATTCTCTCTCATCGACGTTTCTGGCTCTCTATCTCTCTCCCTTCCTCTCGGTAAAAAATCAATAAAATATATTTAAAAAAACAAACAAAAAACGGTCAAAGGCCTCGGGCAGACGTTTCTCTGAAGCTACGCAAACAGCCCCGAAGCGCCTGGAAAGACTCTCAACACCATTAGGGAAATGCAAATAAAACCACAGTGAGATACAGTTTCACACCCAACGAGGACGGCTACAGTTTTTTTAAAATGGAAAATAACACATTTTGGCAAGGACGTGGGGAAGTCGGAACCCTCCTACACGCTGGTGGGAATTAAAACGGTGCAGCCGCCGAGGAAAAACCATCCGGTGGCTCCTCGGCACATAGAACCACCGTGAGGCCAGCCATCCTGGTGCTAGGGAGAGACCGAAGGACGGAGGGCAGAGACGAAGCAGATGCTCGCACACCGTGTCCACAGTGGCTCTAGTCACAGCAGCCAAAAAGGCAGCAGCCACTCCCGTGCCCTTCCTCAGCTGGAAGGTGGACACTGAATCAGACCCTTAAAAATGGTTAAAATGGGGCAACACTGGTTTGGCTCAGTGGATAGAGCGTCAGCCTGCAGACTGAAAGGTCCCGGGTTCGATTCCGGTCAGGGGCATGTACCTTGGTTGCGGGCACATCCCCGGTAGGGGGCGTGCAAGAGGCAGCTGGTTGATGATTCTCTTTCATCGATGTTTCTAACTCTCTATCCCTCTCTCCTCTCTGTAAAATATCAATAAAACATTTTTAAAAAAAGATATTAAAAAAAAAAGGTTAAAATTGCCCTGGCAGGTTTGGCTCAGTGGATAGAGAGTTGGCCTGAGGACCGAAGGGTCCCAGGTTCGATTCTGGTCAAGAGCTTGTGCCTGGGTTGCAGGCTCGATCCCCAGCAGGGGTGGTGCAGGAGGCAACCAATCAATGATTCTCTCTCATCATTGATGTTTCTCTCTCTCTCCCTCTCCCTCTCCCTTCCTCTCTGAAATCAATAAACACATTTTTTAAAAGTGGTTAAAATGGTAAAATCGATGTAATGAATAGTTTGTGACATTTTTTTTTTTTTTTTGATTTCAAGGCAAGGTTTACTGCTTTACAAAACAAACATGATATTTGGTCTTAATAGAAAAATGACATCAGATACACCCTGACTCTGTTTAGCATTGGGATAGCTCACAGTTTCTGCACAAAACATAGGTTTTTAGGAGCAGGGAGGCATGAAAATAAGCTATCTTACCCTTTGGTACATCAGAAACACTTGTTTGAGTAATATTTTGCTTGAATTAAGCCCTTTAATATTCTTTAAGTGTAAAACTTCATAACGTGTCTTGGGGCTCTGACCCATATGTTTGATCTATATGACACCATACATGTCTTTGACTAGTGCACTTACTGTTATGTACAGAACTTAAAATGTGATGCTGTAGGTATGCCATTTGGTTTGATACGTGATATAAACTATTCAATGTTGTATATAAAATCAAGGAAATGTTTTTTTGTGAACGATTTCTATTGAGAATGTATTTAAATTAAAATAATTAAAAATAAACAGCATGAAGCAGTGATCTGTTAATGGGACAGGTCAGTAGCCAGGTGCATGACTAGCACTAAGAATAACTCTGCCACCGAGTTCAGAAGCATACATTTAAGAAGCATCTTGTAAATAAGGTGACAAACTTCACGATTAGAGTTGGAACTATGCAACTAGTTCATAAAAAAGAGCCATGTGCCCTATTATAAAGGAAGGTCCCATTACAATGGCCCTTCACACAAAACACAGGTTTTTAGGGGCAGGGATTACATGATTACATGAAGATAGACCTCTCCTGTCTTAATTCCAAGTCTCTTACGATCCAGACATGCTGGGATGGTAAGTTCAAATGCATTGGGTGTGAATTGCACCTTGAACTTGCACATCCCTTTTTCGGTTAAACCTTTTCACGTAGCTGCTGCTGCTCTGGAGCAGCCCATCTCCTGGCCGGAGCCGCCCTCTTAGGACCTGGAGCAGAGCCGTAGGGAGCTGCCGCCTCTTATGGTAGATGTGGCCCATCACAATATACCTGCTGCCGGGTTTCAACTCTGGGCATGTCTTGTTGCAGCTGGAGGAGTCCAGGGCTAAGAGGTGGACGCGGAAGAAAAAGCCGTCCGGGGTGATGTACAGGCGGTTCATCTTGTACAGCCCGTCCCGGTCCACCAGCAGCGTCACCAGCTGGATGCCCGGGCCCACCACGTCCACATCGTGCACGATGCCGTTCACTGCGAACTCGCTGGCGCAGAAGGACTCGCGCTCGTCCAGCTCCACGCGGCAGGCGTGCGCGCAGGGCTCGGCGCCGGGCTCCGCGTCGCCCCGGGGCCGGTCCCGGTGCGGCGGCGGCGGCGGCGCGGGGAGCGCGGGCGGCGCGGCGGCGCGCGGCCGGTTGGGGTGAGCCAGGCCGTCGGGGGCGCGCGCGGGCGGGCGCGCGGCGGGGAAGCCAGTTTGTGACATTTTTAAGGCCACCTCGGTCATGTGCCCGGCTCCTTTATATACCACCAGCCTGGAACCAGCATGTGCCCGACTGGGAATCAAACCATGCCTCCGGGGTCAGAGGTTGACACTCAACTACTGAGCCACACCAGCTGGACTGTCCCTTGCTTTTAAATCTTTGTGACCTTCAATGCAACAGTTTTATATTTCTATTCAATCGCCATGTGTTTCTGTCTTTCTCTCTTTCTGCTGTGATTTTTTTGGAGGTATAATTGTCATCCTCCTTCTGTTTCTTGTTTGGGTTAGCGTTGGGGTAGTCTGTATTTCTTCTACAACCAAAGATGGCCACGCCCTGGAGGGGGCCTCCCCTCCCCGCTCCTGTCACCTGCCATTTGACAGCTCCGAAGGGAAACACCAGGGTCCCAGGCCCCCCTGGCGCCCCCATACCTGGTAGGTGACGGCCCCTGCGAAATGCCGCACGGTGAAGATGGGCAGGGGCAGCTGGGGCTTGGCGTAGCAGGGGTGGTCGCCATGGTGATAGTGGCACTTCTGCAGGAAGGTGTGGTCGGTGGCCTGACAAGAGAGATGGCTCCCTCAGGCCCTGCCTCCCTGCCCCTGTGCCCCAGACGCCCCGATAGGAGTCGCTGCGAACCCGAGTCCCTGTGACCTGGGAAGGGCGCCTCCCTCTTCCCAGGAACTGTTTGGACGACAAAGTGCTGTTTGAGACCAGGAAACCGCCTCTGTCAACAAACACCGACCATTTAAAGGCGCAGGGCCTTTAAGACGGGTGCAGCGGGCACGCACAGCTGCAGGTGTTTCTACATCAGCCTTTTTATTTTTTAAAAAAATATATCCTATTGATTTTTCACAGAGAGGAAGGGAAATGGATAGAGAGCTAGAAACATTGATGAGAGAGAAACATCGACCAGCTGCCTCCTGCACACCCCCCACTGGGGATGCGCCCGCAACCAAGGCACATGCCCTTGACCGGAATCGAACCTGGGACCCTTCGGTCCGCAGGCCAACACTCTATCCACTGAGCCAAACCAGTTTCGGCAGTCTTTTTATTCTTTTTAAATATATTTTTATTGATTTCAGAGATGAAGGGAGAGGGAAGGAGAGAAACATTGATGTGAGAGAGAAAAATCCTCGGTTGCCTTCCCTATGCACCGTGACCAGGGGTTGAACCCGGGACCTTTTGGTGTACAGAATGACGCTCCAATCGAGCCACACCGGCCAGGGCTACATGTGAATACTTTTATATTAAGATTATATCGATCAATGAAATCCTATCACGTTGGAGTTTTATAATAATGATGATGTTTTTCGCCATTATCTTCAGCCTCTGATGAAGTGGGAAGACGGGAAGGTGCCGCCTTATATCCGGGTCGCGGTGCAATTAGCTTCAATGGCCTCACATGCAGAGGAGGCCCACGCTGCACATCCATGCACCGCGCCACGCAGGCGTGGCTTACCGTGCGGTGTGTGTGCTCTGTGCATGTCAACACCTCTCTCCTGCTACGCTGCGGACTCTAAGGGAGGGGCTGGGTATTTTGCTCACCTTTTTGTCCTGGCACAGATATTCATCCACTTAGTATTCAGTGCCCCTGAACCATGTGCCAGGCGCTGAGACGGGGCTGAAAGCCTCCAGAGGCGGGCCCAGTCTACCCCGGGAGAGTCAGTGAGTAAATATGCAATGCCATTGCCATGGACACAGTGTGGCCACCTGTAAGGCAGCAGCCTGGGAGCAGCAGGGAGCGGAGGCCGGGTGGTGGAAGGCAGCATTTGCTCACCTCTGGGGGGCGCTGCTCAGTCCCCTCCTCCGTGCCCCTCAGGCATGATGGCCTCTCTTCTGCAGTGAGGACTTGGGGACCCTCAGAGAGGTCAGACCTCCTGCTCACGGTCACCCAGCACAGGGTGTGAACCCAGTTTGGCCACTGCCTTCCCAAGCTGTACTGAAGGTGTGTGAGTGGTGTCTCTGAACCCATCTCCTTATTGGTTCCCCCCCTCCTTGTCCTGCCCCAGGGGGCTCACCTGGGACAGCCATGTCTGGGCATCCAGGATACGCAGGAGGCTCAGGGGCTGGTCTACCAGGAGGTCCAGGCAGGATTCCCTCGGAGACTGGGGGATGGGCGCCCAGGGCAGCAACTCTCGCCGACACTCCTCCTGGGAACAGCCAGCACCTGGCCTTTTACGGAGCCCACCCGCATTCACGGGTGACCTCATCTGAGCCGGAGCAGGGATAGCCTTCCCATTTTACAGATGAGAAAACTGAGGTTCAGAAGGACCGAGGCAGCCCACAGCAAGCAAGCGGGCTTTGGGGCAGAGCTCTCGGCGCAGTGCCCTCCCTGCACGCATGGCCTCCGTTCTGCGTGTCCCCCGGCCCTGTCCATGCCCTGGTCCCTCACCTCCTCCTGGGCCAGCAGCATCCGGCTGGCGAAGAGCTGCAGGCGCTCGCTGGCGAGGTTGCTGCACAGTTGCTCTAGGCCGTTCACCCGCAGCGCCTGGGGGCACACGGGCAGTGAGGTGGGCACCCCTGAGATGAGGGCACCGGGCAGGGGTGGGGGCTGGGCACCCAGGCCTGGTGCCCTTCACCCCCCTCCCACAAGCTGCCTGCATCCTCCCAGCATGCAGGGCGGAGCGGTGCCCCGGGCTAACGGCGCACCCTATAGGGTCAGGTGCACCCTATAGGGTCAGGCGCACCCTATAGGGTCAGGCGCACCCTATAGGGTCAGGCGCACAGGCCACAGTCAGGCCTCCCCCTAGGTTTCCACCCCTGCCCTCTGCCTCGGCATGAGCCACGGACACCCTGTGGTCTGGAAGACTCTGCCTACGACCTAGCCTGCTGGCTTTCACAATCCCACACCCTCATCAGCAGGGCTCCAGGCTGCTGCCTCCAGAAGCCTTTGCATATTGCTCCTGTAGGGGATTACAGACTCCTTCCTGCGTGGCCCCCAGCACAGCCCCCACTTCCTGTAGCTTTGGATAGAGGGCTTTGACACATTCTTAAACTAAGGTGACCAGACATCCCGATTTTGAACAATTTGTCTCGTGTCCCGCGGCGTTTTAAAAAAAGTCCCAATCAGGACATTTTTAAAACGCCGCGGGACACGAGACAAATTGTTCAAAGTCGGGACTGTCCCGCCAAAAGCAGGGTGTCTGGTTGCCTTATCTTAAACACACAAGAGCACGCATGCACACGGGCGCACACACACTTGTCATGGTCACCAAGGACACCCTGGAGGGGCGGGCAGCGAACAGGGCCGTCCAGGGGGGGCTCCCTCTTGTTCTAGTCCCTCCTCCCTGCCCTGAGGAGGCAGGACCCCCTGGGAAGGGGTAGAGAGCTTGTGAAAGCCGGGGGGACTGGAGGGCCCGTGGTGCACCGGAGGCGAGGCTGTGGCCGCCCCGCGCTGGGCCTTCACCTCCCGCTGCCCCAGAGGCGATGCCGGGCCTGGGCCGAGCCCGGCAGACGGGCTGCCCCTACAGGGTGTGCAGCTGACTCATGGGCCATCGGGGACTGGCAGGCTAACAGGTCACCGGTGCCCTCACAGGGGAGCTGGCGCTGCTGGGGCCCCCGGAAACAATCAGTGCGAAGTGGGCGCCCTGTCTGGGCCCCACCGCCAGGGGGTGACCTCAAAACCGTAGACATCCGCGACGGTGATGGTCTCCGTGCTGCCTCCCTCCCCGGGCGGGGCCAGCCGCGTGTTGGTCCTCCTCAGAAGCCAGCCGAAGAGCCGCGCGTACAGGGCCGTGGCCAGGGCGTCCCTGTGGGCACGGGGTGTGAGCACGTGCAGCGGACTGCCAGGCGAGGCTCCGGCTCTCTCTCGCCCCCAGGGCACCTGGCATCTATGGCCCTCTCCAGCGACAGCGATCTCGAGGCCGGGCCATAGGGAGTCTCCTGGGGGCAGAGCGTGTGCACGGGGCACGTCAGGCCTAGGCCCACACGGGCACTCGGCCAGCCATCGGGCGGTCCGGCCGTGCCCACGCCTCCCGGAACCCTCCAGCTCACCGTGACCCGCCTGGTGACAGCCCCCTCCAGGCGCTCGGGCGGCACCCGCAGCAGCCGGGCTGCGGTGTGGATCTCGGCCCAGCTGGACACGGCAGCCACCTCCTGGGACTCCCTCTGGGCAGGGGAAGGAGGGGGCAGGGACAGGGGGCGCTGTGCTTGGGCAGCGGCCACGTCCCTCAGGGCAGGGGCCGGCCTTGCTTTGCACAGCAGCTGCCCGGTTCCCCGAAGGTAGATCGATGGGTCTGGGCCGCAGGAGCCCGCTCTAGGGTCCAAGGGCCCTGAGTGTGAGTCCTGACGTCACGTCTCCACTAGCTGGCCCGCCTCACACGTCTCTTTCCTCTCTGAACCGCCACTGTCTTATGGCAAAAGGGGAGACACAGCCCTTATTGTGGAGGGCGGCTCCCAGGTGGCTGAGTGATGCGGGCTGCGGGAGGTGCAGCAAGTAAACAAAGCTTGACCAGGTGCGAGTCATTGAGGAGATTCGAAACCCGCGAGAACATTGTAAACATCTTGACTACGCCCTTCCTTTGCCTGGTGGGATCTGGCTATAAAACACTCGGTTTGCAGGCTGCAGCACTGTCTCTAATGAGAGGGCAGCGCCCCATCTGGCCCCAGCTTTATTCTCGTCTGTCTTTTGTAATCCTTCACTGCCTCCCCCTCCCCCCCCAGGTTCACCCATGGCCATGCTGGCCCAGCACACTTACATTCCAGGGTTTTCCTGAGAACCAAATTAGAAAACGTATGTACAGTGGCTTACACAGGGCCTGGTCCATAACAGCTGCTCAGTTAGTACCAGGTGTGCTTCCGGGGGTGGCAGCTGAGTGGGACAGGCAGTGGCACAGATGCCAAAACTCCAGGTCTGCTGCCCATCTGGCTGGTGGGGGTCTGCCTGCTTTCCGGAGCAGCTGGGAGGCCCCGGGCTGCACAGTCTCCCACATACACGCAGCTTGGGCATCGTGACTGCTGCCCTGATTATGCACACAAGCCCCATGGGCTCGGCGCCTCCGGGGAGCCCACCTCTGTCGAGGAGAAGCAGATGTTGCCCAGCTGCAGGATGGTAGCCAGCACGGCCCACACTGCAGTCAGCTCCTCCGGGCACAAGCCCAGCGCCTGCAGCGCCTTCACCAGTCCCGTGAAGTCCTGGGCATCCTCCTTGCCCTGGAGCCTGCAGGCCTGGCCCTGAGGGGCACAGCAGGGGTGGGCAGCAGGGCCTGGCCCCCCCGCCTTGCTCTACCCCAGCTCCTCTTCAGACCCCCCTACCAAGACCCCTCCTGGGCGGGCCCTGCCCCAACCTGGTTGAGGTAGTGGTAGGTCTCCGGCTCCTGCAGGGACAGCTGCTCCCGTTCCGTGGGGTCCAGCCCCGCCAGCAGCTCATAGAAAACATGGAAGCTCCTCTCGGCCTGGGCCTTGGCGGAGAAGGCCTGGCTTAGGGGGACCGTGGCCTGGTCCTGTGCCCAGGGCAGCAAGGACGGGTCCTGGGGAGGGCAGGCCTGGGGGCCTAGGAACCCCCCCCCCAACCCCTCCCTCTTCCCCACTCCAGGGGCTGGGAAGGGGTGAGTTGCAGCGTGGGTCTCACCTGAAACACCACCCTCGAGGTCTCAAGCAGATAATGGGACACGGACGCTCCCACGATGACCCCGCTGTGGGCACAGGACACCGGGGGAGGGGGAGGGTGCCCCTGAGAATGGGACCCACCATGGGCGGCGTCTCAGGCTCCTGTGCCCACCTGGCCCCCCTCACTTACCGCTGCAGGCAGAGACCCAGGACCTGCCCGAAGCGGCTGGCGTTGGCGTTGAGGACTGTCTTGGCATGGCCAAAGCTGCCCAGCCAGGGCAGCACGTCGTCCAGCTGGTGGGGACGGGCATTCAGATCAGCCCAGCAGAGCAATGAGCCCCTGGCCAGGCCTCCCCGCTGTGGGCACTCTGTGCCTGGGACCCGGCTGGTGCCCCCACAGCAGGCAATGCCCGGGGCTGTCCCTGAGGAGACGCCAGGGCCCGAAAACCCCGTCCCGGCCGGAAGGAGAAGGGTGGTCCCGGGAAACGGCCAGCTGCCCCCACCTGACATCCTCCGGCCCCCGCCTGCCGCTGCTCCAGGCCGCTCAGGAAGCGCACGATCTGCTTGGCGGCTTCTGTCTTCCCTGAGCCGCTGTGCCCACTGCGGGAGGGAGGGGCTGGCAGGCCTCCGGGGAGGGCCCATCGCATCTCCCCACTGAGCCGTGCAGTGGGGACACGCCCCAAAGGCAGATAGCCCCGGGGCACGGAGACCCAACAGAAAAAGCCCCCGAGCTGCCTCGTTCCAGGGCACAGGCGGTGACGCCAGCCAGCACCAGGCCCTCAGCGTCCGGAGCGGCCAGGCCGTGGAGCAGAGCGGCAGTTTGCACACAGCCCTCCCCGCCCGGCCCGCCTCGTGCGGCCTGTGGGTTCCCGGCCAGGCAGCCAGCCCTCACCTGAGGAGGATGCCTGCGTCCCGCCCCGCGCTCTGAGCCAGGCTGCGGGCCGATGCCCCGATGGCGAAGACGTGCCTGGGGAGAGGGCGGGCGGGCGGGCAGGCCGCAGGGGCCTCTGGGCCCTCGCAGGTGGAGGCGGGGTGCCCCGCCGTCCCCCCAGGACCCCAGTCAGTGGGACCCGCCCGGGCTTAGCCGCTGGGGGTTGAACCAAAGGTTGGTGGAGAAGGTCACTCACGGGTCACTGGGGGCCTCCTGGGGGCCGTAGCGGGCCAGGATCTCAGGCGAGAAGACAGGCAGCGGCCGGCGGGGGTTCAGAGCGAGCAGGAGGGGCCCCCCAAAGGTCTGGGGAGGGAAGCACGAGCTCCCACCAGAACTTGGAGCAGGCGGGAGGGGCAGATGGAACGGGGCTCAATGCTTCCCGCCCAGACCCCAGCCCGCTCTGCAGGGCCCGAGAGGGTTCGGCCAGCCAGGAAGGAGGAGAGGAGATGCTCTGGGTGCTGGAGGGCCCTCGGGTCCCGGGAGAAGGGGAGTCCCAGCCCCCGTCCCCTCGGGTGCCCCATACGTAGATGCGGCCCAGGCGAAACCTCTTCTTGAGGCACAGCAGGACGGCGCTGTCACACAGCGGGCTGCGGGCAGGCGGGCCAGCATGGGGGGGGGGCGGGGAGAGGAGGGGGGAGGTCCCAGGTTACTGGGGTTCTGCCACTGGCTGCAGGCACTGGGCAATGCCCCTCTCTGGGCCCATCCTAACGGCCGGCTGCTAGGTAAGCAGCCCACCCAAGGGGCTGGCAAACAGGGAAGCTTCGTGTGGGTTAGAGAAGGAAGTCCCAAGCAGGGACATCTGCTGGTCACCCCCCCCCCTCCCGTCCCACGTTAGGGAGGCCCGACCCCTCCACAGGCTGCAGAAAAGGCGGAGGAGGCGCCCAGGCCGGGCGGCGGGCAGGGCGCTCACCGCAGCCGGGCCAGGTCCTCGGTGTCCTCCAGGGGGGCCCCTGGGGGCCTGCCCTCGGCGCCCGGGAAGCACGGCGCCTCCAGGCCCGGCCCAAGGCTCCGCTCCAGCTCGCGCTCCAGCGCCTCCTCCGCCTCGTCCTCCGGCTCCCAGGGGTCCCCGCGGGGCCGGGAGGGGCCCGGGCGCTTCTCCAGGGTGAGCTGGGGCAGCAGCGCGCCGGCGCCGGGCCCGGGGTCCCCGCGGGCGCCGGGGTCCCGCGCCCAGTGCCCCGGGGCCGCCGCCGCCGCCGCCGCGGTCCCGGGCTCCGCTTCGCTGCCGGAGCCGCTGCCGTCCCGCGGGGGGCCCGCCGCCCCCTCCCCGCTCTCCCGGCGCCCCTCCCCGGCCCCTGCGGCCCCTGCCCCGGGCCAGACGCGCCCCTGCCTGGAGGGGGCGCCCGCGGACGCGTCCTCCGAGCTCCGGCTGCTCGGTGCCCTCCCGGCCCGGTGGGTGCTGGGGAACACGACCGCGAACTTGGGGTCCGGGGTCGGGTCCGGGCAGGCGACCTGCGGGGAGCCCGGGCCGCCGGCAGGGGGAGCCCGCGGCCGCCCCCGGAGTCCCACGACGCCGGCCAGGCGCTGCCCCAGACGGCGCCGCAGCCCCCGCGCGCGCCCCGGGCCCTCGCCCGCCGGTGCCTCCGCCCCGCCCGGCCCCGGCCCCGGCCCGGCCCCGGCCCCGCGGCCCCGCGCAGCCCGAGCAGCCGCCAGAGCCAGCGCAGGAGGCCCAGGGCCCGGGCCACGCGGAGGAGCCTTTCCTTGAGGTTTGGGCGATGGGGACCCGCATCCTGGGGCGCGGGACCCGGGGGCGCCCTCGCGCGGAGCCGGTGCAGCGCCACCAGGGCGGCCAGCGGCGCGGGGTCCCCGGGCGCGTCGCCCCCTCCGCCCTCCGCGGCGCCCTCGCCCGCCGCCGCCTGCGCCTTCCCCGGCTCCGCTCCCACCCGGCGGCGCGGGGCCCCTCCGGGCTCAGCCTCTGGCCGCGCCCCGGCGGCGCTCGGGTCCCCTGGAGCCCGCGAGCTCGTGGGGCCGCCGGCGGGGCCGCCCTCGAGGGCGCCGGCGGTCGCGGCCGTCCTGCCCCCCGGCTCGGCCTCCGGGGCCCGGCTCCCTGGCCCTGGGGCTGCCGGCGAGCCCGGCCCAGGCCCGGCCTCCTCCCGCCTCTGGTCCGTGTCGGACCCGGAGCCCGCCGTCGCTCCCCGGGGCCCGGTCCGCAGGGACCCTCCCGGGTCTCGGGGCGCGCAGTGCGGCTCGGAGTCGCTGCTCCCGCCGTCGCTGCTCCGGGGCGCGCCCTGCGCCCGCGCTGCCGCCGGCCCGGGGTGGGGGTCCCCCGAGCTCGCGTCCGTTTGCGCCGGGCTGGACCGCGGCTCCGGGGTCCCGCCGCCCCGGCTGCCGCTGTCCGGGTCCCCGCGGGCCTCGCTGTCCGGGCAGGAGCTGCCCCGGTCCCCGCCCGACGTGTCCCCGCCGCCGGGGCTCCGCGGCGCCCGGCGTCCCCGCCCTTTGCCTTTCCTCCGGCGGCGGCCGTGCCCGCCGCTCCTCCCTTCTCCTCGGGGGACACCGTCCTCCAGGCGCCCCCCGCGGCCGTCCCCGGGCTCCCGGCTCTCCCCCGGCCCGCGCCCCCGGGGCCTGGCACTGCCCGGCCTCCTCCCCTGAGCAGCTGGCGGAGAACCAGCCCCGGGCCGCGGGCAGCCGCCCTGCCCCTCTGCCGGGGGCTTCCTGCGGCCACCGGGGCTCCCCTGGCCTCCCAGGGCGGGATCCAAGGCAGGTCCCCGGCCTCCGGCCTTCCCGCGGCCCCGGCGGCGGTCCCCGCGGGCCGCGCCCTCGCCGCTGGCAGAGCCGGACTCCTGCTCCCCTGAGTCTGGCCTCCTTGCTCCCTCCGGGCACCGGGGCGCTTTGCCCTTTCTCCCGCCCATGGCAGGCGCAGGGGAGAGGGGCTTCCCGGTGGCTTGCTCCTCTCCCTTTCCCTTTCCTGCGACCTGGCTGCCCTGGACCCCCTCAGCCCTCCGACGCCCTCCGCAGGCTACCGTGCGCCGCCCTGGTCGGCGCCTCACACCTGCCCGCCCACTGCCCGCCTCAGGCCTCAGGGGGAGCATCAATAATGCAGGTGGCGCGGGCCCTGACCCTCCACACAATGGAGCAGAGCCGCCCAGGAAAGAGGAGATGCTGCTGACACTGCAGGCAAAGGCCGAGGACAGGGCAACTGGCCGCATACGGCTCTTCGGCCCTTTGAGAATGGCTCTTCACCAAATACCACGGCCTGGGCGAGTCTGTTTTGAAGAAGTGGCGTTAGAAGAAGTTTAAATTTAAAAAATGTGGCTCTCAAATTTCAGTCGTCCTGTTGCTATTTGGCTCTGTGGATGGATGAGTTTGCCGACCACGGCACCAGGGAGTCGCTGCCTGCTAGGCCGGCCTGGCACCCGGCCACGCTGAGCTGCCGCTGCCTCGCTGCTGGCGGGCAGGGGTGAGGGGTGCGGAAGGAACCCGTCTGGGCCCTCCTCTCAGTCCTGGGGCTCTAGGAGGCACCCACCCACCTTCCTTAGCCCCTGGACTGCCCCAGACTGGGACTAGGCTGAGCTGGGTGCACAGTGAACACTGCATGAGTTTTATTAGTTTGCTGTCGTTTGAGATTGTGAAATATAATTAAAGAAACAGCACCACATACATGGACACCCTCAGCTGGTCAACGTGACACCCAGGAAAGGGAGGCCCCACCCCCCAGAGCAGATCCCTCCCACTTTTCCCATGCAGCCCCTCCCCTGCTTTGTCCTCTGGGGAGAGCAGCTATAGAGTTTGGACAGGTTCAAGCACTGGACTGATGAGTGGCCACCTGCAAGTCCCAGCTCAGAGGGAGCCTCCCAGCACGATAGCCAACAGCGAGAGTTGAAGGATGCCTTTTGGATTCTCTGATGTTTTCCTCACAATAGACGGGTTGAGGGAAGAGCACCACTGGTGTGGAGCATGCTCATCAGGAGTCAGGGCACGTGGTACCAACACGATTTATCCGTGGATCCCTGGTGATGTTGGCCTTGGTCACCAGGATCCTGGGGTGTCTGCCAGGGTCTTCACTGTACACCTGCTGTGGTTTCCATCCCACAGTCTGAGCACTGGAGAGACACATAGAGCCAACTGGTAATGGGAGGAAGGCGGGGGAGGGGGGTCAGGAGGTGCTTAGGGATGACACAATTGCCTCGGGTCCTTGAGGGTAGATTGGCCATGAGCAGTGAGGAGGAGGCGGGACCAGTAAAAGTGGGCTGGGCCTAAAGGTGGGGGTTGTTCAGAGAGATCTGTATTTCTGTAATTAATTTGTGTCCTGCCTTGTGGACCTACTTGCTACCTCACCCAATGGTTTTTAAGGGGTGGGACCCACTTTGAACCTCACAAAATTGTAGTTGAGGGGCGGGTCCTACTGCCAACCTCAGCCAATGGGAGTTGAGGGGCTGGTCCCACTGCCAATCTCATCCAATGGAAATTGAGGGGCTGGTCCCATGGCCAACCTCAGCCAATGGTAGCTGAGGGTTGGGTCCCACTACCAAGCTCACCCAATGGTAGTTGAGGGTTGCGTCCCACTGGCAACCTCAGCCAATGGTAGCTGAGGGGCAGGTCCCACTGCCAACCTCAGCCAATGGCAGTTTAGGGGCTGGTCTCACTGCCAACCTCATCCAATGGGAGTTGAAGGGCGGGTCCAAGTGCCAACCTCGCCCAATGGGAGTTGAGGGGCGGGTCCCATTGCCAATCTCAGCCAATGCTTGTGGAGAGGTATTACTCATTTGGAACCTCACCCAAGGGGCGGGTCCCACTGCCATCTCAGCCAATGGGAGTGAGGGGCAGGTCCCACTGCCAACCTCAGCCAATTGGAGTTGAGGAGCGGGTGCCACTGACAACTCAGCCAATGGTAGTTGAGGGGCAGGTCCCTCTGCAAACCTTATCCAATGGTAGTTGAGGGGCTTGTCCCACTATAAACCTCAGCCAATGGGAGTTGAGGGGTGGGTCCCACTGCCTACCTCAGCCAATGGTAGCTGAGGCACGGGTCCCACAGCCATCATCACCCAATGGTAGTTGAGGGGCCGGTCCCACTGCCTATTTCAGCGAATGTTAGTGGTTGAGTGGGTCTCTCAGCTAATCTCAGCCAGTGGGAGTTGAGGGGCTGGTCCCACTGCCTACCTCACCTAATGGTTCTGGAGAGGTGTGACCCTTTTGGAACCTCACCCAATAGTTGTTGAGAGGCTTGTCCCACTTCTAACCTCACCCAATGGTAGTTGATGGGCGGAACCATCTTCCAAACTCACCCAATGGTTGTTGAGGGGTGGGACCAACAAACTAGTCCTAGGGCTGTTGCTCTTACCACTGAACATAATTGGCCAGAGCTGTTCATTACATTTTTTAAAAATAGTTTATTTTTATTTTTTTATTTGGGAATGATTCTAGATTTACCCCACAATTGCACAGTGAGTACAGGGTTCCTGCGCACAGGTCTGCATAGCTAGTCTGTCCGGTTGTTCACAGCTTCCGTAACCCCTGGGCCGACACAGCTAACAAGTGAGTGCTTGTGTCCTGCTTGAACCGGACTATAGACTTGTGTTTTCCTAGTCTTTCACTAATAGCCTTCTTCTGTTGGAGGATCGACCCAGAACCCCGCACTGCCTTTAGCCCCGTCTGTGCAGTGTCTCCAGTCATCTTTGTTTGTAATGACCTTGACGAGCTTGGAGGGTGCTGTGTGGAGAGGGGCTGCAGCATGTGGACAGGTTCAAGACTGGGACTCATGAGAGGACCCAGTCCTCTCGAGGCCACATGCAAGTTTGAGCCTGGAGGGCAGAGCTTCCCAGCACCATGACAGCCAACAGCTGTGGTTGTGAGCTTGGACCTGTGGTCTGAACTCGTGGCCCCACGTGTCTGAGTGACGTGGGCTTGATAGAGTTCAGGTGCGTGTAATTGTGTGAATTGGAAACCCTTGAGAATGCTGTAAACATCTTGACCGCGCCCTTCCTTTGCCTGATAGAATCTACTGTCCAAGAGATGGCTTACAGGCCCCCTCTCAGGCTCACCCTTGGCCGTGCCGGCTCGGCACAGTCCACGCATATTGTGGTCGCCGGCACCCTGTGCCCTTTTCTGACTCCACCCTCCCTCCTTCCAGAACCACCTCCCTCTCTCCCGCCTCACCCATCCACCGTCGACTTTCACTCCGTTGGTTGGGTGTTTCCTGGGAGCCAGGTGTTGTGTAACGTTAGACTCTTGTTTTAATCATTACAGCCCTCTGGTCAGGCCCTATTATCTGCCCCATTTTACAGAGAAGTAAACTGAGGCCCAGGACTGTGGTCATTTGCTCAAGGTCATATGGCCAGTCACTGGCAAAGCCCGTGGCCAGTGGTTGGGTCTGCCTGGCTTCTAAGGTCCACGTCTGCAGACCAGGTGTCCCGCTGCTCTGAACATCTCCCCGGCCCTGGGATCGGCAGTGACCCCCTCTTCCTGATTCGCCTTCTCCATGGCAGCTCTGTCAGTGCAGCCGCTCACATCTCCATTTCGCCCCTCCCGCCCTCCCCCCCGCCCCCGGCCTGCTGCTGGAGGACCTGCCTTCCTCTCCGTGCCTCCAGCTTCATTCGCACTTTCCAGAGGCTGCCAAGCCCCTCCGTCGTGAGCAGCTCTCAGTGAAAACAGTGGTCTCACTCTCAGTATGAGGATGTTTTCTTAGAACTGAAACACGCCAACTGAAATGTTAGCCGACATTAGCTAACATTTCAAAACACAGTGTACTTAACACAAAGCTCATCCTTAATGTGTGGGTATAAATCCATTGTCAATGAGTCTGTGATCTTTTCAGGAGAGAGACAGAGAGAGAGAACATCTTGTTCAGCCTGATTAGCCAGATCCTACCGCCGCCAGAAAGCATCCTGCTCCCTGGCAGAGCCGGCTGTGCCATGTTCTCCTGAGCTGGTGCTGTTGATATCACCATTATCTTCAATTCTCAGCTTCTTGGCAGGAACCTTCATGTCACTTGTTCATTTTTTTTTGTTTTTTAAGAATTTCCTTTTTAAAATTTTTATTTATTTAATTTATTAAAAATACATTTTATTGATTTTTTACAGAGAGGAAGGGAGATAGAGAGCTAGAGATGTTGATGAGAATCATCGACCAGCTGCCTCTTGTACACCCCCTACTGGGGATGTGCCCGAAACCAATGCACATGCCCCTGACCGGAATTGAACCTGGGACCTTTCAGTCAGCAGACCGATGCTCTTCCACTGAGCCAAACTGGTTTCGGTTATTTTTATATTTTTTAATATTTTATTGATTTTGTACAGAGAGGAAGGGAGAGAGTTAGAAACATCGATGAGAGTCATCTATCAGCTGCCTCTTGCACACCCCCCACTGGGGATATGCCCTTGACCGGAATCGAACCCGGGACCCTTCAGTCTCCAAGCTGATGCTCTATCCCATTGAGCCAAACCGGCTTTGGCCACTTGTTCATTTCTGAGTTAGTTTAGCTAACCAGATTTTTGTATTTATTTTTTAAATATATTTTTATTGATTTCAGAGAGGGAGGGAGAGAAACATCAATGATGAGAAAGAATCAGTGATGCCTTCTGCACACCTCCCACTGGGGACTGAAAACCGGGGCATGTGCGCTGACCAGGAATCAAACCAGACCCTCCTGGTTCATAGGTTGACCCTCAACCACTGAGCAACACTGGCCAGGCTGGGTGTCTTCCCCTTCTGACAGCAAGGGGGCTCCCTCTGCCCTGACGCAGGGATGTGGTCAGACGCATCCAGATGGTGAACTCCTGCTCTTTATTCCTAAAGACAGCAGAACAGCAGTGCTCGGACCCCAGGGACCGTTAGCTCTGCCTCCAACGCCGAAGCAGCGGACCCTCCCGAGCCAGCCTGGTCCCAGGACGAGCTCCAGGCCAGAGGCGAGGAG